TCAGTATCAGTATCAGTATCAGTATCAGTATCAGTATCAGTATCAGTATCAGTATCAGTGTCAGTATTAGTGTCGGTGTCAGTATTAGTGTCGGTGTCTATACTTCCTGTTCTGGACAACGTACAGCAGGTGATGATCGACCCAGACGACACAGCATGATGCGAGGTCCCCAACAGAACGGAAGGGATATGCATATGGATAAGTATATGGATGTAATCAGCGCGGTCTCCCTACGGCCACCAGGGCAAGGTCCAGCGACACGGCACCATAGGATACAGTCATAAGATGGCATGCACACGTTCAGCCTGTTCGTCGGGCCGGCCTGGGGGAATTCTACCTAGGTAGCCACTGGTATTTTTGCAAAGGCACGGGGGTATGGAGTACTGTATGAGTCTAGGTAGGTAGGTAGGTATGACCAATGCCGAGAATTGTACGAGTACTGTAGCATTCTAGGCCCACCAAACCGGTACACGAAAGAAACTCAGGAAACAGGTGATGAATGGAAAGCGACAAGTCTCATACTCATCGGAGGAAAGGACAAGCAAGGGTTCAGAAATAATATACCTACGGAGTACTTGGCTAGCATAAGATACTTAATTACTCAGTAACTCACCTGACGCCTGGATCTTGGGAAGTGACGGTAGTGAAGAAATGGTTACGAGGTCAAACAGTAGTCTCATGTTCAGACATCACGTTGTACAGTAAAGCCTAAAGACACAAAGGCAATAGTCTTCTCGTGCCCATTCGGAGAGGGATGGTAATTACATACTGTACTTAGCTGGAGAGACAGAGTCAGAACCGCGGAAGACACACCGCGAGATACTCGGTACAGTACTGTACTGTAGGTGCGGGCGACAGCATTCAGCGAGGGCAACTTAATTACCTGAATGACTTTCCCGTAAATGCACATAGATACTCCGTATTCCGTGCTTTGATGCACTAAAATGCACTCATATACTAGCGTGGCACCGTGGTAGTGAGGAGGCTCGGAGGGCGTCCTTTCATCGTGCAAGAGTTGGCAGTACTACGTACAGTATTACAGAGGCCGGTCCGTCCTGAGCATTCACTCCGCTCTAACCGTCAACGATATCAACCTGGAAGTACTAGACGACGAAGAAGAGGACCGACAGATCTCGACAGCACAAGGGCCACATTTATCATTGCTGCTTGATTTTTGACCGGAGCTTATTTCGCTGCGAACCCGGGCCGTATACTGCACATCGAGAAACAAAATCACAAGGGCGCTTTATTGCGTGGACGAGGTGGACCGGCTCAACCTCTCTTCTCCCATGCCCTGACAACAGCCCTGCCCCTGAGTTCTTCTTCCAAGTCCTCTTGTCTCTGCAACGCCCTTCTCACCAAGTCCTGCTCGAATCTGACTTCGGCCAGCTGTCCCTTGGCCCAGTTCCGGTGCCGAGGACATCTGTTTTTGATACACACGCCGCCCTTCTTGGGCATCGTGTCACTCTCGTCGTCCTCGTCAAGCATGGCCGTGTCGTCTTGATGGATATTCCCATTCGGGAGTTTCTTGTTTGCTTCGTCGTCCGGTTCGTCCGGGGGTCCGATTTTGGCGTCCGCGCCAGCATCAAGGGTTGCTTTCCCGCCATTCTGGCCATACCAGGTCAAGAACTCTTCGTCCGACCATGCGACTCTCGGGTCGAATCCACACAGGTCTTTCATCTTGGGTTGTGTTTTGCGAACCTCTTCCGTTATGGCGGTCGAGCGTGCCTTGATCAGCTCCAGAAACTGCTCTCGGGCAGTAAGTATTTCGCTTCGAGCGTTGAGCCGGGACTTCTCTGCTTCGATACCGGCCAATTTCGCACGTTCCAAGTCGTCGTATTCCAAGCTTGCCGGGGCCTCCTTTGAGTCTTCTGCGTCTTTCATGCCCGCGCCCATGTCGCGGGGCGGCGTATCCGGCTTCCTGCCCAGTGCCTTCCATTCTTCAATGTTTTTGCATCGCTCGATTAATGCTTTGACCTCGCCAGCTCGTAAAGCTCCGCCACGATTGGGCAGCATGTCATCATCGACACTGCTGTCTGTCTCGTACTCGGTCCTCTCTTCGTCACTGTAGGCCGGGGTGGCGAGACGGCTGTCTGGGTCCAGACCATTGGCAAGATGGGGAATAGCTTTCGGGAACTTTTCTCTCTCCGTGTGCTTCTTTCGATGCTTTTTCGGCTTGGGCACCTCGACAATAAACTCGCCGTTCTTGGTGGTCTGCGCTTGCGAGTCCCCTCTCTGTACCAATTCGACAAAAAACATGCGTCCGCATGCATCGGAGCAGTATTTGCTGGGTGGAATCTGGGTGACACGAGCGGGCTTCCGGCAATCTTTTCGCCGGCACATGCGCTTCCACGTTGTCTGGAGACCCGGTCTTGTACACGACGGGCAGATGTACTTGTCGATCAGCTCACCGTCACGCTCCCTGATATTGACACAGTTGCCATGAAACCATTCGTCGCAACCACCATCACAGGCGATCATCCAGGTATGATTGTCACCTTTTCTACAGATGCAAAATACCTCACCGTCGTCGTTTGAGCTTGTCGCTGAGTCGGCTTCCGACGGAGACGCCGAAACCTCCCGGGAAGCAGCCCGAGATGAAGCCCGAGACGGCGATGACTGGACGCTGGCGGCTGACGTCTGCTTCTTGAGTTTGGAGAGCGGTGGCTTAAGCTGATGCGAAGAGGGAGTAGCGCTAGGGGACCGAAAGGACGACCGCGACGCAGGCGGACTCTGTTCTGATTCGCTAAGCTTGGGCTTCTTGTTGGGCGTGCTCTTCACCTTGGCTGTACCCTTCTTCCTCGCCGCAGCGGATAGAGGCTTGACAACGTCATCAGGAGCAGGGCGCTTTTTGCCCGCAACGGGCGCTGGTGTCGCAAACGGTTCTGCTGAAGACGCTCTTGACCCAGCAATCGATGGCTCTTTTTTCAGGGTCGCAACCACAATCGGTGGCGCAGGAGATTCGAGAAAGGGCGTCAGACGAACGGGTAGCCCTTGTTGTTCTTCTGGTTTCTCATCTTCATGGTCGTGCTCTTCTTCGGCATGTTCATCTTCCTCTTCCTCACCCTTGGCCGACTTTTTGGCTTTCTCGGCCTTTGGTGGTTTCGCAGATGCAGAGGGTGGCCCTCTGGCTATGATGTCCTCGAGCGGTTCCACGGGTTCGCCGGAGATGGGATCGACAACGACCTCTAGACTCCGCACAGGCTCCCAGGTCTTGATATTGTGGATCTTGGAGATGTGATCTCTTACAGAGCGACGTCTAGTGAAGAGTTTGTGGCAGAGGTAACAGAGGTATCGTCGATCAGTATGCTGTCCTTCGTTTTTCGAGGAGTGGATCGAGGATTTGGGTGGCGCCTCTGGATCGGCCTTGCGAGACTTTCCTGGATGTTTTCGTTGTTTCGGAGGCTGACTTCTGTCCTTGGCCGGGCTGTCTTCTGCATCGAAGCTCTCTTCTACCACGTCCATCATCGAAGAGTCTGCCGTCTCGCCGTCGAGAGGAGGGTACGTGTCTAGTGTCTCCTGCTTAACGTGGTCTCCCTCGTTCACCCCATCGTAGTTGTCTACGATCCCAGCAGACTGGAACAAGGGTTCATCGTCCATTTTCGTGTCCTCTATATGCGCTTTGCGATCGAAGGCATCTTGATCGAGGGGCGCGTCGTCGTCGGGCTGGAACAGTTCGGGCGCAAAAAACGTCGCAGCGGGCTCGGTGGTTTCCATCCTAGAAAATGCAGGGTTAGACAAGAATTTCACATACGCAATCCTAGAGACATAGACTCACCCTGCGGCTTCAGACGCGGCGCTGAGACGGTTTGACGGGTCCGGGTTGAGAAGTTCAGAGAGCAGGAAAGCCATGATGACGGATCAGCGACGGTCGCATGTGCCTGGTCGCGCTAGCGAAGATGTCAAGAAACAGTGAAGACACTCGTCTCCAGCCACCATCGCCCTACGCGATCCTCGAGACTCGGACTCGTCGAGACACACGCGACAGGCGCAAGTGTTCTTCACTCTCTTCGTAGATTTGTCGCCGACTCTGTTACGCGCGCGAGTCGGGGCGTCAGGTGCGAGCTCGCGGCAAGCGCACTTGGACAAATCACATGACCGCATGGAGGTTTGAAAGCTACGACACAGGCGGAGTCGCTGAAAGCAGAGAATCATGGACTATGACGAGAAAGGATTGCTTGGGAGGCTGGCCGTAGCGAACGTTGCCAGGTCAGATTTCCTGCTGAAATGGCAGACCATGGAACACCTTCAGGACACTTGTATGCACGACTGCTAGATGACCTTTCACCATTTTCATGTCCAAAAACTTACTGCCGCTTCCAGGCAACATCTCTTGACCCATATCATCAATAGCCACTCATATCGGATCGTAAAGGCGTGTCATCTAACGGGAAACCATGCCCCCATGTCTGTGAGTTGCCGCCAGGTATCTCTCGCTAGAAAGTTGCAAAGTCATCCAGATGTAACAAAGGATTCTGTGGATCAAATACACTTCCTACAAAAATCCCGGCAAGGTCGTCTTCACCGGCACCATGTGCATAGTTTTCCGCATTCGGCACATATCCTGAGGTCCCGTTGGAAGGTGGTGCAGTGTTTGCATTCTCAGGTCCGGGGGTGGGTATCATTTGGGCACTTTGTGCTGGCTTTTTGGTGCGTCTCTGTCGGACTTCATGGGTAAAGCCAAATAGACGAGTTGCTCTCTCGATGAGATCCCTTAACTCTTGGTATTGCGTCTGATTCAGGTGGGGTACCTTCCGCTCATCTGCCAATCTCTGCCATTCGCCGTCCACCCAGGCTTGCAGTTGTGGAAGTACAGCGATTGGGAAACTGATAGTTCCTTGATGGACGCCACTGGGCGGGATTTGTTGGGGAGATGGCATCTTGTGTATGAGCCGCCACCACTTGGCCCATGTTTGCTGCAGGTCTCGGCGGTCCCTTTCCTCATACGCCTTTTCCATAAGCAAGAAATCCTCGTACCCAATGTGAGGGCCGACAACTCTGTTGGCATCAGGAATGCAAATTTGAACCCTAAATCTGTCGTGATAGTGACGTGAAGCATCGGGCTCGCCAGAGAATCTCTGCCCACAGTCGGAACAACCTAGGTGAATCCGTTTCAGATGTATCCTGTGGCACCCTCATTAGCGCGGTCCGTCGGCGGTAGATGATGACATACCAAAGATCATTCAGTTGTAGGCCTGTTTCTGCACAACCTGCAGAATTGCCTGCCACGCCAGAAGGGGTTCTGCCGAAAGGACAATCCCACCGAAGCTTTGCCTGTGCTTGTGCCTTTGGATCGCCTTTGGGTCGTTTGAATGGCCTTCCTCCATCACCACCGCCTTTGCCATTCTGATCTTCTCCTTGGTCTCCGCCGCCGCCACCAGGAGGCGTTTTTCGCTTATCGCTGTCCGGGGGTGACGAGGTCTTGGCAGGAGTAGGTAAATGTGCTTCTGTAGATGAACTCGGACTGCTGTTGGTGCCACTGAGGCAGTGTCGAGAAACATCCCCAACACCCGACAAACTGGGGAAGCCATCAGATGCAATCTTCTCAAACGCACTCACAGCGAAACGAGCAGACTCGGATCCGAAACAGCCGGCAACTACTTCTTCTATGCTCAGTTCTTCGGATTCATCGTCCTCGTCGACATCTTCAGAGCCGGTTGCGGAGACCTCCGCTTGGTTTTCATGTTCCTTCGCTGGCGAGGCGCTGTATTGTGTCCCCAAACTTGCCCACTCGCTAAGGCCAAACCTTTTCCTTGGGTCGTCGACAGGCTCTCCCGTTCGAGGCTTAAAAGCCGAATCGGCGCTCCGTTGATCATCCTGCGGCCTCAATAGAGCAGCAAAATCGGTTATGGCGAACGGGGCCCAAGGAGGAAAGTGCTGGTGGCTTGGGGGCAAAGGGCTGGAGGCTGCGCCAGTCAGAACATTTTGGACTGTAGTTATTTCAGGATCGTGAACGCCCTTGTCAACCAGTATAATTTCCCCGTTTACTGGCGCGGACCGGGAACCCGACGCCTGCGCAACGTATCGGAGATTGGCAGCACCGATCGCGTCCTGCTCCGGCTCTTCATTGTCGGATTGTGACGAGCAGCTTGTGCCTCGCTTTTTGAAATGCCGACAAGAACCCACTTGGGGACCAAGAGCCCTCTTTTTCAAGTAGGGGACCCTGACAAGGCGGTTAGACTGCGCCAAAGATGACGTGCTAGCCGAGTAAGTCAAGGACGGAACTGAAGACGAGGAGGAGCATTCTAATGATCCTCCGGACCCAGACAACGAAGGTCCACTAGTTACCTCGGGGCTAGGTCGCTCCATGTCTATGGGATGTCCCCACGGATGTTGACGCTGGTCTTGTAGCTCTGGCCCATGGCGCGGAATCTCCTTTAACGATGCCAAAGAGTTATGTTGAGGCAATTCTGGATGGTGCGACAGCACGTGGTTCGCATAGTCTCCACGTCGATGATATCCTTTTCCATTGTAACTCCTGTTGCACCTGGATGACGGGCAATAGAAAAGGTAACCAGCAGGAGCAGTGCGGACAACTTTCGTTTCCCCAGAGTTGTGTCTGGAGCTCGCCGGTATAACCTTCTTCCCTTCTTTTGAGTCCAGTGTCAAATCCTGGGTTCGCGAATGGTGTTTCTGGGCTTGTGATAGTCCTTTAGACTCTTTCTGTTCATCAGTTTCCACCGAGAACACTAGCGGCGTCGAAATGTCATTTGCACTGTTGTCTTGATGCGTCTCTTGGCAAGTCCAGGAGTCAAGCAATGGTGTCGTAAGCAGGCACTCGTCGATGTCTTGCAAGGAAAATGTCGATGGAACCTGCCCTGGGGGGTATGGTGGGTCGAGAATTAGATCTAGATCGAAAGCAAAGTGACCACCTGGCCACTCCATGCCCGCGAAACTGTAGAAGTGTCAGCAGTCTGGAAGAACGCGTTCTGTGCAAGAGAAAGTTGGACTGGACACATCGGCTGGCCAACTCACTTTGATGGCATTGCACAGGAAAATTGTAATATATCAGAGGGATGAAAATATAGCGAAATAACAAATATGTTCGTGATGCAGTGCAACGGCTCAGTCGTCCAAGAGCAACGACGGGGTGAAGCGAACAGAGCAAGGGAGCTCGTGATGTGGTCTTGCACACATCGCTGGAAATATTGCGCCGAGATGGCGCAGAGAGAGCGCAGGTGCGCATCTCGTCGTGTTTGGGATGCTGCGCAGTTGCGCAAGATGGGATCTCGAGGGCTTCAAAGCACCAGAAGACATGCTCAATGATGTCAGCCCAGAACCACTTTTAGTGGGCACCAAGTGCTTTGTTCTTGCGACTCAGCCACAGCTCGACACGGGCCCTGGCAGTAGCGCCCTTCCCCGTGAACGGCCCGGAGGGCGTGCCTCATAGTCCAAGCATAGTCCAAGCAGCTTGTCGTGACAATGCTAAGCGCCTCCCATCTCAACCTTTCAATGGTGGCCAGGAGGCATAGCACTATATGGTACTGATTTGGACCTTGACCTGGCTTTTCCACAGGAGACTCAATGATATTAGAACGTACCAATGGTCTGTTCCATCGCCAACGTGAAGTCCCCGTTGGTGGGTCTGGGGATGATGACAGTAATTCCCTAGTGCAACCTTAACTAATCGAGTCCACTGGGCGGGGTTCCAGGCCGTTTCCAAGCCTGCACCAGCCACACTGCGCTCTGGGGACGGGCAGCGCATAGACGAATCCGACCACGAGGAGCACTGGCGTGTCAGATGCTCACGATGCCTCAGGCCTGCGCAACTGCGCGTCGAGCTCCAAACGGCGTGTCAGTCACATCATGGCGCCACTGTTCATCCTGGGTACTCGTAGACAGCTGCGCATTTGCGTGCACGCCTTGATGCCGTTCCGACCTCAAAATCAGGCGCATCTGCGTCGACGACTTTACTCGGGCGAGACCCTCAACTCAAGCAATAGCGCAGCTCGTCGGCGTCGACACCACGGCAAATATGCTGCAATTGGTGGAGATGGATATAAGCGGCCCTGTCGACGGTATGTAGTTTTGGTGATTGTCTAACCTCTTCACTATTCACTCTGAAATCGACAGGTAAAGAATGCCTATCCCCATCACACACCCTCCGCACACAGTCAGAGCAAGTCACTACCTGGGGCCCTCTTCAAACATCGATGCCACCCACAGGATCAAATGGCGTCTTCTCACCTGTCACAACGGGGCCTTCTACCTCCACGAGGTGACCCTCCTCTCGACTGATCAGGGCCCCGATATCGTAAAGAAAATTCTCCAGCAGTACCTACGCTCCGAGTCCTGGCTGGCGAAGGCCGTCCCATTCTTGATACCCACCGCCTACACGGCTGCACTGGCTCCAGTAAGTCCCCGAGACCCTCAAGCCTCGCCATCGCTACTGACACACCTACGCCTATCCCAGGTCCCTGGTGAAAGTCTTGCCCACCTCCCCTGCCTAGTCGACGTCGACACTCAACAATACTCACATGTTTTGACCACGGCGCTGCGACAGCCAAGCCACCTTCCAGCGACAGCTCTATTCTTGACTTCCTATGCGCGCTTCGCCAGTACAACGGAGCCTCACAACAACACCATTTCCCGCGACGCCATCTTGATCAAGTTACAGCTTAGCAAGCTCTCGCTCGCGGCCTTCTTGGCTCTCACCCTTATCGTATCTGTCGTTGCCGGAGTCGTTGCCGGAGTCGCGTGCCATAGTCTCGACTTGGCATTCGGGGTTTTCGGTGTCCTCGTCAGTCTGGTTGGGATAGGAGAGGGGTTTGCAGTGTGGAGGTTGATGTGATACACGGCACCAGAAGTTCATACAAAGGGATATGTACAGGAAGACTTGTGCATAAAATACTGTGTATCAGATGGATTCATATGGCCCCGAGACGTCCCCACGGGTGAGGCGGGCTGTGGTACGCCAATTCGGAAAAGTTTAACTTCCCCTACAGTAATCGAGTTGGCATATCTCTCATTTCCAAATGCCACATTGCTTTGTTCGCAGTCCCGGGTACCCCACGTTGAGGGCTCAGCTCATCATCCTATTTTCTCTCTGCACCGTATCTCCATGAGGCGTGTTGTAATAGCTCTACGACTAGCGGGCATGGTGAAGTCACTGGATCTGCTCCGGCCGGAGCATATGTTACGGGATCTTTGGCGTAAGGAGAGGCGGAAGTGCAACAAGATAGGTTCGGTCAGAAGAAGAGACGGAAAATTAGGGAATAGCCCAGGAGAACGTCAAAGTGGGAACAGCGAGTGCGCAGTCGATGTTAGCGCATACACAATCTGGAGTACAGGGTGGAGAAGGTCGGGGTGACGGGTGGGGTGAGGGAACCTGATGTACCGAGACTCGCAAGAGAGAGTGGCACCCTGGGGTACAGTACACCGCACGTGAGCTTTGAGAAGATTGTTCCTATCTTTCGGATCCTAGGGAAAAGTAGACGTTCAGATCTTTCTATGGGCAGTGCCACTACCCATTGTTGAGGAGAACAGTCGCTCGCTGTATCGGGTAAACTAAAGCGTCGCGTATGAAGATGGAGGATCAGGACCACATCGCTTTCATAGGTGAGCTCCAGTCACTTTCTGTGCTCGGCTCAGAGCTAATGGTGGAACCAGGCGTGGGCGTGATGGGATACGCCATGGCAAGCAATATCCGGAAGAAAATGTCCCCCAATGCTCGCCTCTATGTGAACGACGTTAATAGGTCGGCATCTGAGCGGTTCGCTCGGGAGTTTGGCCGTCACGGCTCGATCTATGTCGTTGATTCGGCCATAGAAGCAGCTACCCATGCGAAGGTTGTCATCTCCATTGTGCCTGGTGCGGCCGATATTCGTGAAGTATTCCTGGATCCAGTTAGGGGGGTGGTCGCCGCGCCGAAAGATGCGGACAGACTGATGCTGGACTGCAGCACGATTGACTGTCAATCGTCGAGAACCGTCGGTGAGAAAATGAGGGACGCAGGATCGGGCACCTTCGTAGATGCCCCTGTCTCTGTATGGCCTCTGAGAGGACTCACATGGAGCGATGGCTGATGATGTTGCTGCTTCTCTCTAGGGTGGCTTACCTGGCGCTCAATCCGGGACACTCTCCTTTCTGGTCGGTCACTCGCCACCATCTGACTCAGATCCGATATCAAGGAGAATCGAAGCTGTCATCTCCATGATGGGCTCCCCCAACAAGTTTTTCTGGTGCAACTCACCGGGGGCCGGGCTCGCCGTCAAAATTGCGAATAACTACATCTCCTGCACGACGCTATTGACGATCGCCGAGGCCATGGCAATTGGTGTCCGCCAAGGCGTCGACCCGTCATTGCTGTACAATTGCATCAAGAACTCGACGGGCCAATCCTGGATGTGTGACAACGTTCAGCCTGTTCCTCATGTGCTCCCGCATGTGCCGAGTAGCAACAGCTATAAGCCGGGATTCAAAAGCCAAATGATGATCAAGGACATCTCGCTGGGAGTCGAGGCGGGCAGAGAGGTAGGCATTGAGCCGAGAACGGGAGAAACAGCCCTCAAGGTGTTTGAACAGGCTGCCAGGGACCCGAGATGTATCGATCGGGACGGGTCGAGCGTGTACCTATGGCTGACTGGGGACACGATGGAGGACTATGCCAAAGAACAGGGACGGGAGGGGGCCGTTTCGAATCTGTAGCGGTGGAGGCGTCCGACCCGTTGAGCAGGGAAGACGTGTTACTGTTGACAGCCTTGCCAGCATCCCAGTGTAAGGTTTGAACAACCCGGGCGTACGGGGTACACACCTGGCCCAGAACAGGCAGGCTCTTGTTCTCCACATCCCCAATGTTGTACCTCCCCTCGCTTTGCCATATAACCATTGATCTCAATCTGGATAGTGCCTATGGCAGTATCGGACATCCTTACAACCATTCTTGATGTCACGTCGTGAACAATGCGTCGGGGAAGTCTGTTCATAACACATCCGTCTGGTGAGATAACACATCTTATCGCGGACGACTTCACCGACCCGTGGCAAGAATCTCGAGAGACGATCCTCCTTCAAGGTGGCTTCGCTCGCCACGCAGCATTCTTCTACCATTGGGTGCCAGCTCTCTCCCGACACTACAATGTAATACGGCGAGATCTTCGGGGCCATGGGTATTCCAGTGCTCCTCCAATCGCTGAAAAACCGGACGTGTACACTCTCGACGCCATCCTAGCTGATATTATTGACACGCTTGACCAGCTCAAGATTGAGAGAGTTCACTTCTTCGGTGAGAGCACAAGCGGTATGCTGGGAGAAATTCTTGCCGCCAAGCACCCAGAGAGGCTGCAAAGCCTGACGGTCTGCTCTTCTCCTGCATATCTCCCCGAAGGCACCCAGAGGTTCTTGGCTTTCGGAGAAGCGAGCTTCCCAGAGGCATGTCGGACCCTAGGTTCGCGCAGATGGGCAGAAAGGCTGAAGGCTCAGCCAGGGACCATGACACACCCAGACCCAGCATATCATAATTGGTGGCTAGACCAGATTTCAGTCAATTCCGGCGAGGGGCTAGCGAGCTATGCAGAGTTCCTAGGGACCCTTGATGCAAGGCCCTATCTCTCGCAGATCCGAGTACCGACACTCATCCTTGCTCCTGCAAACAGCGCTGCCACCAAGGTCGTGGAACAGACAGCAATCCAGCAACAGATCGAGGGAAGTAGATTGGTCGTGGTTGATGGAGCCGGTCATGAAATATATGTCGATAAGGCCGAGCAGTGCATCAACGAGCTTCTTCACTTCATCCGGGACACCAAGATGTAGAAAGTTGTTGCTTGGGTGTCCGGGGTGTGTGTACCGAGTACAGCGTCAGATCCTACTACATTCTCAGCCGATTCTTAGGCGTTGCTATTTCATCTCTGCTCCCAGAAGTGCAGCCCAATTCTTTCACCTCCTTGCAGAAGGTATCCTGCTCGGTCGTAGAAATCATCACCGCAGCCCGATCCCGGGTATTCCAGAAGTTGCTCAGGGCTAGACCTGGTGGCGCGAGCTAGACGATGCCAGGATAATGCCCATCTCCTGCACGCCTCTCCGTCCGTGTTTCAGCAGATGTAGATGTCGTGGCAGCGTTGACCGCGTTTCTCCAGACCTCTTTCTTCAAGTCTGAGTGAAAGATTCGAGCGGACTCCGTGTTTGCGAGGACATGCAAGTACTGCGGCAGTGCAAAGTGCCACATCCAGCGCGGCGCACCTTGAACCGAGGCGTGGTCAGGTTTAGATGACCCGTCGAGGAACCCATAGCCAGGACTCGCTCTTGGATGCATGAGTCAAATGTGATATCAGATTGACAGGCTTGTAGAAGCATACCGTTGGAAGCAATCAATTACCTCATTGGCATATTGTTGGCACCAAAAGCACCAAATTCACCACCACATGGCATCGGTGATTGGAGCTTCAGCTCGAAGCTTGTCCAGAGGCTGGAGACGATGCAGTAGCGGGCGGGGGAGGGCGGCAGCAGGGCGCTTGATTCGGCAATCTGCGAGCTGCGGCAGCGATCGAGACGTTCGGCGATGGGTGAGGCGGAGGCAGAAGCAGAGAGGCAGGCTTGGGCTTGCCGTCACCGTTTTGTCTCCTCATCGGTGATCGCCCAATGACCCACGGCGCTGTCGTAACACCACCCTTCGATGGTGACGCCGCAGTCGAAGAGACTGTCTTCCGCACAGACCTTCTCCGGCACTCTGGGTGTCCGAGCTGAAGCACATCCATCACTCGCAAGCTCCGGTCCTTTGCACTGTCACTTCAGGCGTCTGTGCGGAAACATCAACCGGGCGAAGCCAATCGGCGCTGACTGCGACAGCACTTGAGACTCAGGCTCAGACCTGATGCCACCCGCAAACTCACCAACTGTAAGTACAGGGTATCCGAGTCATCTTCATTCAAGCTGTTTGCATCTCTACTACGAGTACATCTGGGAACTTGTTCTCAGTCGCGGCCGTCACTATTGTGCCGGGATCCCATGCTTTGACCGACCGCATTGCTAAGCAGCGTCGTCCGTCCAAGCAGCAGCATACTCACTTTGTTCTTGCCCACAGGCCACCCGCCCTTCGACTCCTCCTCTGATCACCTACCTCCAACATATCCAAGAAGCCATTGCTACCCCCGTGCCCGATCTTGCCTCTACCTTGAGCCCGTCTCCGCCTCGTGCAAGGTCACGCGAGGATCAATGGGAAGTGCGCCCTGCCACACACGATAACGGCATTGAAGCGCCGCGTTTACAGCCTACCAGCGACGACCTGTTCTCGCGGAGAACCTACTTGACGGAAGAGGAGTTTCAACACTGGTCTGCAGAGAACAGAGCCAGGGTCATCATGCAGAGCGAAAGGACCAGAGCCAGGACTACCCTGTCAGCCGCCATGCAGCGCGAACTTGACCGTCGAAGTTATCCTGCGACCGCTGATGGAATCCATCGAAGAAACCTCTACGATTTCGCCATGAGAGGGATTCCGCCGCCAGAGTTTCCTGAGCAATACTCGAGTGATGACAGCGACGGCGAAACGGAAGGCATGAGCACGGCAGCCCCCAATGCCGACCCCAATGCACGGAGGGACCTGCAGCGCCTGGAGAGGGCGTTGCAAAGTTACAGATCAGCTCGCAATACTCTAAGGACGTCCAGGGGCGGAAGCTCTGATTTGGGGGCCGTGCCCACTGCGAGTGCCCTGCGCGCATACTGGAACGAGGAAGATGACAACACTACGAGGCCACCGCGAACGGGTCCCGGGGCGGAACGAATCCAGCGGGATGCTATCCCAGCCCATGCCCAGAGTGCTCGGGCTTCGCATGAGCCTCGCTTCATTGCGTCGACCAAGCCACACCCTTTAGATGCATGCATGCGAGTCAGAAAATTGCTCCGATATCTGTCAGAGCTGAGAGACACAGGCGTCGAAGGAGGACTGGAGGCAGCCAGGAGGCTAGGGCTAGATTCACTGTACGCCTCGGAAGACTCGAACACTCCTAGCGACCTGCCCATGCACATCAACAGCCTTCCAGTCCCACATTGGAGCTCTTGGTTGCAGCCGGGAATGACGTGGAACGGGCTGCAGTCCACAGAACGCCACCCTTCACGTTATTCGCCCGCGCTGCCAGCAAGTCAGCGGCGAGAATGGCAACAAGCACTGCTTCGAAGGACGCTTGATGAAAGAGAAGAGATGCATCGGGTGGGTACGGACGAATCTGGTTCTTCTTCGGCCGACCCTATGCTCGACGCAGAGCGCTTCCTGTCGGATTTGATACAGAGAAACAACGGCAGGTGGTCTATATCTTTCACCCGGCGCGGAGATTCATTGGTATCTACACGACATCCACGAGACCCCCCGACCCCCGACTTGGACCGCTGGCCGGTAAATGTAACCATTGCCAGTGTTGATTGGCACACGATGACCCTGACTGGGACGATGTCCGCAAGCCATATGCCGGACAAACTGTCTCCGGTCCATCAGTCCACGTCACCTGACCATTCTACTCCAAGCAGCATGTCCTCCTATTTCACAGGAGAGATTATTGACTTTCGGCAAAAGCCCTTGGAGACGGAGAAAGAAGGTCGAGACTATGAGGTTGGTGGACTGGATGTGGACGCGCGGTATTGGCAAAGACTGGGACCTTTCAGGAAAGAGATCGAGAGGGTTAGGCACCTGCAAGGCCAAAGGAGAAGCGAATACCAGCAAAACAGCCCCCTGTGGGATGCATTCCGCAAGGCCGCAGGTCAAGAAGCGGAGAACAAGGAGTCTCAAGGCAGTTCGGCCACTTCGCCGGAACCAGGAACACTCGAACCACAACCGAGGATCGAGACAGAGGTGGACCGGGAAATCGAAGGCCATCAAATCATGGCGCGGTGCCTCGGGAGCGCGAAATGGATGGAGGAGAAAATAGGAAACGAGTGGATCTTGATGCGTTGGAAAGAGCAATGTTTTGTTACGGCACCTGGAGAGTCCGCGGATCCAAGTTCAACGAGGACGATACTGACAAGAACGGCGCCACCAGAGGCACCGCCAGGCCCAGGCCGTGCTCGGAATAGCAACGGATCTACCTCGTGGGGCCTGACCATTTCGGGCTTTTACTACGTTGCCTTGAACCGGCTGACTGGGGAGATCGATGGGTTGTACTACGACCGTGGGTCACAGCCCTACCAGACGCTCAAGATGACGCCCAAGAATGCCTCCGGTCCTGTAGGCGACAGCGACCATCCCCACGCTTGCGCATGTGGCTCGACCGATTGCAAAGAACCGGTCGGGGTCAAGAAATGGTTTCCATCCATTGAGTTTCGGTGAACCAAATGCAGGTTTCGGTGCCACAAAACAGCGATTGTACGGACTAGACAGTAGTTGAAATTGACGAAATTGAAGTCATGAAAGCCCATCTCCGCTTTTGACTGAGCACGCGACCTCTCACCATGTTCAGCCAAACCGCGATCGCGTGAGAAATGTGACAAAGGGGTGTAGTGGCCGAAAGTGACCGAGCTTGTAATTAGTAGACTGACTCGAGAATATCCACTCCGGCAGGGCAGACGAGGACAGGAAAAGATACGCTTCAACAGCTTCGACGTCCTCAAGACCATTGTGGCCGCGTGGATGTTGGTGATCGGTTGTCGATAACAATTCGAGCATTGACCAGCATAATGACTTTGGCCTCAGACATCGCTCACCGATCGCTCACTCATTGCTCAGCGGCTATCGAGATGACGTGATCACCACAACACCTCATCTAGCGTCTTGAATATTCTGCCATTACTTAATGATTGTCTCCCCATCCGATCGAGTTTAGCTGTCCAGCTGTGATAAGCGATGGCTTCAAGCTTCAGCCAAACGGTCTTCGCTTCGTTCTACTCCAGCTCCACCTTTTGCACGGTTTTCCTTCGACTGATCGATCGACTGTCACCCAACCCTGAGTGCTGAGCTTCCTTCCTGGCACTCCCTGCTCAAGCCGCGGCCACGAAGCACCCACAATGGCGCAAACTGGGCTTCTTGACTCCTTCCTGGCCGCCATCCAAGCCTCGCTGTCGGTCTTGCTCGTCATCTTCTACGGAGGCGTGGCCGCGCACCTGAAGCTGCTCAATGGCGCCAACACAAAAGCAATCAGCAAAATATGCGTGCGCATGTTCCTGCCCGCCCTGCTCATTGTCGATATTGGCTCTCAACTGCACTCTGGCTCCGCGAATCGGTACCTGGTTATATTCGTCTGGGCCCTCATCTGCCACTTCATCTCCTTTATGATTGGCATCATGGCACATTTCTGGCTGGGCATGCCCGACTGGACCACGGTGGCGCTGATGTTCAATAATACCACCTCCTACCCGCTGTTACTGGTCGCGGCCTTGGACGAAACAGGGATTCTCCGCACTCTGATTGTGACGGACGAAACCACCAGCGCGATGGTCGCCCGCGCAAAGTCGTACTTCTTGGTCTTCGCCACAGTTAGCAGCTGTTTGACGTTCGCCGTGGGTCCAAGGTTGATCGACACGGAAAACGCGCCCGAGGTCGACGACTCGAAAGAAGGAGCAGACGATCATGGCGAAGCATTCGACGCTATTGAGCAGCAGTATCGCGATCAGGAGAGCGGAAACGCCGACGAACAGACCGCCCTGCTGCAGAGTCCATCCACGTCCAGTCCGCACAGTGGTCCCAATGAACGGCGCTCGACCGTCACCTTCACCTCAGCCTTGAATTATGCTGAGAACGCCTTCTTCCCTTCTACCCGTCGGTCGTCCATTGGGCCCAGGCAGTCCCAGCCGTCCATACGACGGTCCTCGCTCTCTATCCCGCAAAACCGCCGCGCCTCCATCGTGCCCAAGAAGCAATGGTACAAACTGGGGCCTCGCGCCAAATGGTGGCTGCTGTTCATCAGCGACTTCTTCAATGCTCCGCTCCTGGGCGCAATCATCGGAGCAGTAATCGGTCTTGTCCCCGTTTTGCATCGCTCCTTCTTCAACGACACGTACGAAGGAGGCATATTCACCGCCTGGCTGACCGCCTCTCTGAAGAGTATTGGCGGCCTGTTCGTGCCGTTGCCCGTCGTCGTCGCGGGCGTGAGTCTCTACACAGCCATGAAGGAAGCGCGAAACGCAAGGTCTGACACATCGGCCGACAAGCCAAAGAAGATGCCCTGGATCACCGTGACTTTCATCATGGTGATCAGGTTCGTCATCTGGCCGGCTGCGAGCATCTCCTTTGTATATCTGGTGGCGAAGAAGGGAACCATCTTGGGAAGTGACCCCATGTTGTGGTTTGCGATGATGTTGATGGTGAGTCGTCGTCTACACCCACCGACATCTACTTATCATACTTCCTGCTTGTTCGTTTCTCGAGATGTCTACGTACTGACGCCGTTTCTTCCCTCTTCCACGCTCTAGCCGACCGGACCGCCCGCCATGAAACTCATAACCCTCATCCAAGTCAGTGACGCTGAGGAGGAGGACGAACGGAACATTGCAAAGCTGCTGACGGTATGTCTTCGCCCGCCCCTACCTAACTTCACTCGGCTCGTCCATCCACTTTCTGTCCGAGGGCCTTCGTCTCGAAGCCACGGCCCACGCTTCCAAGCCATGGTCGCCTACCGACCGACCCATCAGACTGACACAATCCCAGATCTCGTACCTGATCTCACCGATCCTGAGTTTCACAGTTGTAGGCGCCCTGCAGGCCGCGCGGGCCGCCATTCCCGGGTAAACGGCCGGCAGGAAGAGTACGATATACACTCACTTACTCACCCCCGTTTCCCCGTGCCGCCTTTTTCCGAGCATGCTCCATACATTGCTACTTGGGCTCTTGAACGGAGTCCGGAGCATGCCAGGCTTGACTAGTTTCTGTTTCGTCTGCGGCATGGATACCACGCTACACTACAGTATAGTACGGTACACAAAATACGTATCGATCGTACAGCATATTTATTCATATACATGCTTGCTTGTCCTGGCCATTGCAGGTTATTGATGGTTCGTTGGGAATTGCGAGCCGTCATGCTGGGGAGCACGTATGCACGGCACATGCGCATTGGAGATGCAGAGAGCGACGGAATCGGGTTCCAGATGTCACGAGTCAGGCGGCAGAGTCCACGACGCTGTTGGCGTGAGGCGAAGGAAGTACGATATCCGTAGCTCAGTGTAGTATGTAAGGATGGAAGGTATGGGTGATATGGAGGGATGGCCAGGACCTGCCGTCGCTGTTGCAATTCGTCGCACGGGGACTCCTACATGAGCATGGTGGACGTCCACCTAGTCCCTTCATCTAGGGGCTGTACGCAACAATCAGTATGGCCCGGGCATGCGTGTTCGTGTGTCGGTATGTACGGAGTATACATGTCTGTAATACAGTGCATATGTCGTCAGACTCGACGCGGATCCAGTCACCCCGCTCGCTATATGCGTCTCCACTATTCATGGTTCAGACATCAACATCAAAGCCTCAAGCTACAAGTTTCGATCGGCTGAGGTCGGCGATCCGCGCGGTCGGCGAAGGCCAAGGCTAGTGTCTAGCTAGCCTCGACTCCTCTCCGCAATGTACTCCAGCGCTCTCTTGAAGTATGGCAGAAACCGCACCGGGTCCTCGCTGAACGGGAAATGGCCCAACCCGTCCATGGCCTCGAAGACCACCTGGCTGCCTTTCTCGCCACCGTGGATCTTCTCCGCCGTGGCCCGAGACATCTCCACGCTGCAGCTGTAATCGTACTCTCCCGTGAGCATGTAAATGGGACACTCGATCGTGTCGATCAGGTGCATCCTCCCCCTGCCATCCCACCCGTCAAAGTAGAATTTGAGATCGCCGGGGAAGATGCGCGACGCCTGGGCCGAGTAGAGCCACCAGTTCAGTCGCTTGTAGATGGCCGGCGAGGTCGGGCTGATCATGCCGCATACCCTCTCGGCGTTGAGGACGGCCTCGTCGCCTTCGAGCTTGTAGATGGTCGATCCGGCCGCCGAGGGGATGAAGTCGCACGCCTCACATGGGATCACGCCGCGGACGTCGAGTTCCTTCGCGCGGAGCGCGACGGCCAGGCAGACCTCGCCGCCCATGGACGCGCCAGTGACGATGGAGCGGCGGATGTCGAGTTTGCCCAGGAAGGACCGGATGCAGGAGATGTAGAAGTCTTCAGAATTGGCATACGACAGCGGATATTGCTTCTGTCCGGGGAAGGAGCGGCCATGGCCCGGGAGGTCGAAGGCGTACATTCTGTACCGGGACTGCAGGTCCTTGTTGAGCATCATGGAGTGGTACTGGCGCGAGTCGGCCCCGGCCGTGTGCAGGAAGAGGATCGGTTGATGGCCCTGGCCGGAGACTTCGTAGAAGATCTTGCATTTCCCCAGCGGTGGGAGCGTAAGCCAGGTGTAATGGCCTATGATGGAGTCGTCGTCGGTCTCGTCTTCCGGAGTGTAATCTTCTTGTTGGGCCGAGCTCGAATTGGCTTGTCCGCCGTTCGCGGCCTCTCGTACGCGGTCCAGGACGATCCTCCACGTCCGAGCGTGCCTGGTGAATGCCTCTTCGTCACCTAGAACTTCTACGCCGGCCGTGTTTCCCAGGACGCGGATCATGCCCCAGAACGTTTGAAAAGGGCGCTTTGGCACGGCCGCAAAGAATTGCTGCCAATGCTCCGGACGTGCCTTGAGGGTGAATTGGGGTTTGACTCCCGGTTCCGCAAGGCATATGCTTCTTGCGGTGACTTTGAAGCATATTGCCGGCTCGAGGCCGGATGCCTGGATTGCGAAGATCACGTCGTGGCCAATGCTAGCCTTGAATTCCACGTCTTCATTGAGGTTCGCTATGGAGGAGCGAATAGATTCCTCGGAAAGATGGAAGTCATTGGACTCACTTCCCATCGTTGCCCAGATCTGTATTTGCCACTGTTTCAAATATCGCGCTCCTTCTCACCTATTGCTTTGAGCTAGAATATATGTGGCGCCAGCAGGCTTCACGCCATAAAGCCGGCTCAACTAAATATCCTCTCGCATCGAGGACTCGAGGGATTATCTCCGCATCAAATCCCGATGCCGAAAATGGGGGAAAAGTCTGACGGAAATCAGAGGTGGTCATGACTGGACGAGGCAAGGCAGGGACCGGTCAGTCAGACGACATATAGAGGCTGGGCTTCCCCGCTCTGCTTTATACGTGACTCCTCACCAAGGAAGCATTCCTCCTCATCCACTATGGCAACTCTGACACCTTTTGCAGGATTGGATCTCTGTGATAAGGTACTGAGAGACCGAGCTCGCAGCCTCGCCTCGAAAATCTTCACTCAAGCTGGATGCTCGCTTCTATCCCTGCGGCCGCATGGACCTGCACGTCTGCAGGGCTTGCCGGACTGCCCAAAGCAGAATGCTTGATATCGGATGACTGGTCGTCGTCATATACCAGGCGAGCGATAGGAGCTATGCTGGGGACGAGAACAATGCGAGATTGACCGAACCAGGGCCAGCATCGCGTCGAGGCGTTAGGGAGCACTTACAAGAAAGGCGACAAGGCTTAGAACCTCCACCAGCGTGGACACTTCCTAGGACTACCATCCGGGATATTTGATGAAGAACGCGTGGACGTTGCGCGGCTCAATTCGGAGCACTCCAGAGATTGCCTTCTCGTTCGACCTGTGACACGACAGGGGAGTCTCCGGTCAGCCTCGTAATTATGGCAATTAGACATGGCGCGTGGCAGGTCTCCGGGGTTGTGCAACGTCATGGATCGTATTTCACTCGGCGGCTCAACCCTATGAGGCTACCGAGCAGCCCTGTCGAGAGTGCATCATATGCGGTCTCAGGCGCACACCTTGTCCATGCTCGACGATAAAGGCTCGCTGGCAATAACATGTGGCATTCGCACCTTCCATTCCGTAGCGGAACTCGAGGCCCGTCCAACGCGTACACGCGACGGGTTGGTCCTGGGTCCCTGGCATTCAGTCGGACACCGCAAGCAAATCAAACCAAACCTCGAATCCGCAGGTGAGGTTCGGAGAAGCTCCAGCTGTGGGTAAGACGATGCGTCTCCACCAATGTCCAGTAAATGCTCCTGGGCACACAGGGTTGCACCTGTTCAGTTTTCTCCAGCTCGGAAAATCGCGATCGTGATCCTGGCGAGCTGTCCAACGGCGAGGAGCCAGAGTAGACGTTGGAAATCGGATGTCGTGTGGACTAAGTAGATTGCTCTGGAGGAGAAGACGGTGGTCAAAATGAACGAATTTGAAGAGTGGAGAGAAAGTGGCAGGTTGATCTCTGCTGCTCCCGCTGATTCGGTGCGCGTCGGACGCATTCATCTCCCGGGCGGACTCAGACGCAGCAGAGTTGACGCCAGCGCAGGAACAGATGCGCCCAGCTCGCGCTATAATCCAGCCAGACGCTCTAGTGGCTACAGGCGGCCTGGATATCAATTCCAGCGCCAATGGGCGTGTCCACTACGGACTTCTGTGGAGCTCAGACGCACGGGGGCACTTGTCTGCAACTGCGCTCTCACTCTCGCAAGTGACGGGCTCTCCCCTGCTGTCTCTTTCTCCCTTGCTTCACCACCACCTCACCATACACTCACCCTCACCCTCACCCTCACCCTCACACTCACTTCCTCCACACTGTCGGTCGCTTTTTCCTGTGGTCTTTCTACATAATAATATCGTGCCGTACATTGTCCATCATTACTGTTGCCTCTACCAACGATCGCTTTCGACTCAACCACAATCGCTCATCTAATAACACTCGGTGACTGCTGTTTTGAGGCTGGGAGAAGAGAAGCTCTCCTCGCTTGTACTGATTCGCAACACAACCAGCAACAATTAATTCAATCTCAATCTCAACCACGATACGGCGGCTCCTGGTCCGTTCCTCCGTCTCTTGGTGTAGCCACGAGGAGCACATTGTGAGGTCGGTTTGCCATATACCGTCTTGAAGATGAGTTGAGTTTTATGAGGTGCATAACCTTCCGCCCCTTCATGTCCATGTCTCACATCCTCTGACACCACCCACTTTTGACAGATCCCTGATCCTGCCCGAACTTCGCTCCTGCTGAGCTTTTCGCCAGCTGCCATTCGTTTTGTTCATTCCTTCGAAATACTCAGACGACTCACTCGCTCGAAGACCCACCACAATTGCCAGTCATCACCTCCACCGACGCAGGGCTGGGGTTGTATGCGAGTCTCTCACCTATCGAATCCCACCGTCATCCTCCTGCGCCGACGTCGGCTGCCTCATCCTGCATCTCATGCATTCGTTATAGACCGTCTTGACAAATGGAGAGACCGGCCAAGCGGATGAAGATCACAAACCCTGATGTACGAAATCCTCGAGACTCGGGTTCGAGAAGGACCGAAGGACTATTCACCTCGGAGTTGGGCATGCGAAGTGACGAGACAGATAGAGAGATCCTTCCAACCCGCACCATCAGTCTGTTAGACTTGCAGAGACAAAAAGTATTTGGGAACTACCAACAATCCCCACGACCTGTTTTGCCGCGGAGGAATGCTGGAATCTACCTGTTACCCCGGGCTCCCGATGCTACCGTCACAGCCAGTGTTGTCCAGGTCAACGTCAATGACGGCACAACAACCTCGAAAGTCACCGAAGTGCCTGTGGCCACCACTGGTGCCGTCGTATCCTTGACAGACGTTGGTTCCTTGACGACTGCCCTCTCTCTCACGATTCCTGGTCTCTCCAACAGTACCACCCCCACTGGATCCGGTACCGATTCGGCTCAGGAGACCATCACGTCTTCAACGACTCCATTGCCGCCTGATACATCGACAATTACCTCTGTTACGACGAGTTCAAGTCCACTTCCACCAGTCAATGGAACTGTACCAATCCCTACCACCAGTACCGAGCAGCGGACTGTCACCGTCACTGCAACGTCAACATTCGAAATCTCCTTGATCAACGGCACGATTCTCGCCACGGAGCCGTACTTTGGAGTAACCTCTACCAGGACTAAAAGTACTGGCACCGGCAGTAGCAGTGCTTCTCGAACTTATACTTTTGGTGAACTTCCCTCCACTCCGCCGGGCTCCTCTCACGGGTCCCCTACGTCTACTGGGTCCGACTCGTCTGCAACTTCGACTGATTACTTCGCGGGCGCTGCAGGAGCGAGTGGCGCCGGCACGACTACACCCACATCGGACCCAGCGTCCACCTCCAGCTCAAGCTCAGATGGAGGCGGAGGTGGGGGAAGCAGCACAGGTCTTACGCCGACTCAGCAACAAGTAGTAGGAGGCGTCGTTGGGGGCGTGGCTGGGGTTGCACTGACGCTGGTCATAATTCTCTTTCTCCTTCGCTGGTATCGACGTCGGCTGAAAGCACGCGGTCAACTTCCCGAGCAGATTGCAGCCCGGGAGCTTTCAGGCGGCGGAACTGGTGAGGCGTACCCCATGTCGCAGCGGTCGTCCACCACTCCTCTGGCAGCTGTCGTGGCTCATGGATTCAAGCGCCTCCGACCTCACAGCAATCAAACCCTTGGTACGACCGTCACTGCTGACACAACAAGTAGCGTGCCAGAGTCTGAACGTGGCTTCCAGCGAATTGCAGGACGGAAGATAGCCCCCGTCATAGGCAGTGGCGGTGATCCATATGGTGGGAACTACGGCGCCTTTGAGAAAGATGTCGATGCAGGTCCATCGAACATACCTGAGATTGGCCTGTCAGGTGCTTCATTCTACCAAGATAACCGCGGGTTCTACGGGGGCCAGGGAGTTCAAACACCAACAATACCCTCGTCGCCAATCACCGCTACCTCGGCTGCAAAGACTGGAGAGATGTCAGCCGCTACTGGGGCCGCTTCTAGCACAAGAGATTTCGCCGACCCTCGCGTTCCATCAGCGCTCAACAGCAGTCAAGCTTCTTTGACGACGCCCACCCGGCCCGAAGGATATGCTGTTATGCGGCCGAGTCCCGCCCGGACTCCCGTAACGCTTAGTCCCGCTGCGAGCTCTATTCGACTACCCATTCAACAGCCTCCGAGCATGGATGAGCACGCGCCGCCGATGCCAGTGTCTGCACTGCGCGATGGTGTAGGCCGAAGTCTTGCCAGTCAAGATGGTAGTCGAGTGAGTAAGAGCAGTGGTCGAAGCGCAGGAAGATTTACGGAAAACATGTGACATCCACAATCTTGTGGGGATTATGTGAAGGACCATCATTCCTTGCATCGATTTTCTAATTTTTGCTTGTCAGCGAGGAGCCTGGCGTTATTGTGGGATATGCCGGCCATCATGTCGAGGCTGTCTTGAGAGTCTCTGTTCTCAGACTAATGTGTCTAGAGTTGTCTTGCTTGATGATACCCATTATGTGTGTCTATGACATACAAACTATGTCTGTATACGCGCAGGTCGTGAGACCGTACGCTACTAAAAGTCAATATGGCAATCAAATTTCATATGGGCGATTCCGCGTTCTTCCTGCTTAATGATCGTCTACTGTGCGGCCACTGTTCCGAAGTGAACCGCTCTAGATATGTGGCCAGCTGATATTAGAACCGAAGCTATAACTCGGCGGCGGTGCACCAAGGTGGAAGAGACAGTGGACAGTGACTCCAGCCACTTGATAGGGTACTGTTGTATGCACTGTAGTGAGAGCCCAAGCACAGAGTACCCGTCTACTCGTACAAGTATGCCGCAGTTCCACTAACTCCGTATTTGTGCCCCAATACGATGTATCCCCAGTGAGTCTCCCTGACGTGCAGGATGCAGGCACCTATACGTACAGAATATACTGTAGAAGAGAGTCGTGACAGGACATGGAGTGTGCTAGAGAGATGTCAGTCACTCAGTCACTCAGTCAGTCACTCAGTCAGTCAGCGAACGTCGTCCTGCCTCGGCTCTGCTGCACCTTCTTTCTTTCCGCTTCGGCGATTTCGGCAGCGGCGGAGGCGTCCGCTGTGCCGACGGCGATTATTTGCGGGTTTCCGATCCTTCATTGATGCGTCGTCTGGGACTCCTGCGCTTGGGAGGATATCAGGTGAGTATACTCGTACAGCACGTACATTGACATCGACGTGTACGTTGGTCTATAACATAACTAACCTTGAGCTTCCATGGACGGGTACTCACGAGCATAGGACAGTCACTACGTATTGGAATGGCTTGGGATTGAGCAGACAGACTCGGGTAGACTTGTGACTTGGCTCTGGACTTTGTCCTGACCTGGCTTGAGCTGACCTGGCTTGAGCTGACCTGGCTTGAGCTGACCTGACTTGACCAGCCGACGCCAATCCACGGTGTGCCTGCGAAAATTATTTACAGTCACTTACATAAGTTGCACGAGTTTGTTGCTGGAAAGAGACACGACACAGGACAGCATGACTACGCCCACGCCCACGCCCACTCTCCCACCCTTACCAACTTCACCAACCACGACACCCCTGGCGAAACTCCTCTGGGGCGAGGAACGGCTCCAACGACGATGTGAGATTCTGGCAGCCATCTCGACGAACCCGGTATTCGCGACGGACGGGCGATGTAATCCGCACGCCCTGGCGCGGAAGGAATTATGGACGCTGCGCCTGAAGCAGGGCGTCGAGTTGCTGGCGTTGAAGTTCAAGTTGGGATGGTCGAACCAGCAGTTCGTCGATGCGACCAAGATTGCTGGCGATATTTTGTCGTTGGGGGTGAATTATCGGAGTGAGTTTGTTGATGGCACCACCCAGTCAATGTTTGGCTCTATTTGCCCTGCAATCCCCTGTTCCCTTCCCAGTTCCCTCAAGGTCTCTACCAGTGTCTTCCTGATTCCTTCTTGATACCGTCCCTGTTCCCTCCCATCGCCGGCAGTCCTCTCCTAGTCGACACGAGACGTCCAACTACACTCATCTAGTGGAGTGTATCAAAGCCTTGCTGATCGACTGATTTATTTTACAGTCTTCATCAGAAACCTCGAGGCCCAGATGAGCGCAGCCCAGAAAGCATACTGGATCCCTCGGGCTGAGAGGTTCGAGATCGCAGGATGTTACGCCCAGACGGAGCTCGGCCACGGGAGTAACGTCCGGGGCATCGAGACGACGGCCACATTCGACCCGAGCGCCGAGGCCGACGAGATCGTCATCAACTCGCCCACTGTGTCGAGCCACAAGTACTGGATCGGTTCGCTCGGCGTGGTCGCGACGCATGCCCTCGTCATTGCGCGGCTCGTCGTCAAGGGCCAAGATCTGGGAAACCACGTCTTCTTGGTCCAGGTCCGCGATCTCGACACCCACGACCTCATGCCCGGCGTGCAGATTTACGAACAGGGCGAGAAAGGCATGGGGACGTTTGCGTCCATGGACAATGGCGTCATGGCCTTCACGAACTGTCGGATTCCGAGGGCGAATATGTTGGCGGGCATGGTCTCCTTGGAGCGAGATGGAACGTACCGTGCCGCCAGAAATACAAAGCACGCGTATACTTCGATGGTCATCATCCGCGGGCTGATGTCCGAGGAGATCGGGACCGAAGTGGCAAAGGCGGTGGTCATTGCCTTGAAGTATACGGGCTTCAGACGACAGTTCAACACCCGGGATGGACAAGAGAAGAGAGTGATTGAGTATGCGAGCGTGCAGCACCGGCTGTTTCCTGCATTAGCCCGGGTGAGTCGAGTCGTGAAGATCAAATCTTCTCTTGGTTTGTTTTCCCGGTCGCGACGCTGATACGTCTGTTCAGGCTGTTGCGATGATGCTTCTCGGTCGCGAGATGAGAGCCCGCATCGACAACATCGTCAACGAGAGTCTCGAAGATCTGCATCTGCAAACAGTCGGAGCGAAGATCTGGGTGAGCGAACATGGCGTGCGTGACATAGAAGTCGCTCGTTTGAGCTGCGGTGGCCACGGTAGGTTGGCTGCCACTTGCGAAATATTCAGGACCAGACGCTCATCTGTGGCCAGGCAACATGGCAGCAACGGGACTGGGGGCGCTGTATGCGCAACTCTCTCCGTCACGGACATATGAGGGAGAGACATACGTCCTTTCCCAGCAGATTGGAAATGCTGTCGTGAAGCACTGGAAGAAGTATGCCATGCCTATCTGCTTGGAGCTGTGCAGGTTCTGACGTGACGCAGTAAATCCGAGAGCTCCATCAGCGCCTTGTCGTATCTGGGACGATTGAGAGACCACAAGAAGATGTCTCAGAGGTTTCAAGTCGCCAGCGTGGATGCGTGGTCCAGCCCTCGCGTCCAAGAAGAGTTCCTGGAGCTCAGAGCAGCTCTTCTTGCGAAAAGGCACCTAGACGACGTGGCTGGCGGAAGGGATACCAGCTACGATGTCTTCGAGCTCACCATGGCTCATGCGGACCTCACGTATTGCCGCGCGTTGCAAGCCCAGGTGAAGCAGAGTCCGGCCGAGGACAGACCGACGTTGGAGGCCTTGGCGAATGTGGTAAGTACTGCCTACCGTGGGCGTCTCTCCGTTACCCGTCAGCCCAACGCTGACAATACCACAGTTTGCCCTCACCGCCATCGTCGAGAACTTGGCCGCCTTCGCTGGTACAGAACTTCTTTCAGCCGAGGATCTCGCCAATCTACGCCTGGCTCACAAGGCCGCCATCTCGGTTTTTGCGAGAGAGGTAGACCGGGTGGTTGAGGCGTTTGGCTTCACCGAGTACGAGCTCAACAGCGTGTTTGCTCGGTCCAGTCAGACACCCTACGAAGGACTGCTGGAAGTGGCGAAGCAGAGCGAGTTGACCGACAACCGCTTCATCCGGCCGACGCTGCTCGAGGCAAGAGGTTTGTGGAAGAAGTACGGCCGTGCAAAGATATAGAAATACGGGGCGTTGCAGTCACATCAGTGCGCCTATGCATTCTCTAGGTTTGCATCAGCATATATTCACAAGCCGACTTCTCGTCTCCTTTGCCATCCAACGTCCGCTCGCCATGACAGGATCGACGTATGCATGGCCTACCAGCTTGTAAATACTCTCGCCGTGTTTTTCGGATAGCTCCTCCGACCTGCGGAGGATGGCTTGTAATGTACAGCCTTCAAGATGCCAGACGATGTCATCGGGTTTTGCATCCCGGTGTGCCCAACCCAGAAGAACTTGGTCGTGGATGTACATCAACCGCATGCGTTCTTCCAGGATGGAGGAAATCGACACCAGCATAGGATAGAGAGGGTGTTCCCCCCGGCGGCTGACGGAGTTGTCTTCGTTCAAGCTGAAGAACTCTCTCCACTCGGGCAAAACTCTCGACGAGGGGCTTAATCTACCCCCTCGACGTGCGATGAAGGAGAAGTCGTCGGAATCTGGTGACAGTTTCACGCCAAATGCCTCGAAGAACGCCCTGTGAGAGTCGAGCCAATGCTTAACCCTCATGTGACCCCTGTCTTGGAAGACGTGGTCGGGAAGAGCGTACAGAAGCGAGAAGAACGCCGCAGACGGCTGGATGCCAAATGTCTGGTTGTGGCAGATGAGCAGCAGTCTGCGAAAGGCCTTTCCAATGTCTCGATCTGTGATGTCGTCGGCGGAAAACTGCTCGTTGGGGCTGCTCGGAGCAGACCGTTCGTCCAACAGAGCGCCAAGAGCTGTAATCCTCCCAATTTGTCGGCCTTTTAAAATCAGTCTGTCGCCGCTGGTGATGAACGTGTCGGGGACCACTTCGTTCATAGTCGGAGATCCTTGACCAAAGGCCCGTCTCCTCTCCCAGCCCAGGTTGACATTTTTGCCGCCCACGTATGGGATCAGGTTTTTGTCAAATTCGTGCGGCTGAAAGTGGAAATAGTCAGGGCACCAGGATGGCAGCTCGGCCTGGTGAGGATTGGTACTTCGGAGAAAGATGATATCTGCGGAGCTGTACCAGGCGATGTGATTGGAGGTCATTTCGCGGCAAAGGGTCTTCTCGGACACGGTCGTCGAGTAGTTTGGTTCTTGCACAAAGTCGGTCCAGTCCGAAGCCAGACCGAGAAGGCCATATACCTTATCCCTCAGGACGCTGGTATTAGAGGAAGTGGTCATCGCCAGTATGTCCATGAGTCGAGGCTTCTGCTGTGCTCGACAAGCAGCACGGACCGATAGAACTCTCTGGGCGAGGTCGTGTGAGTTGCCGTCGTTGCCCGGTGGAGCGAGTCTGTCGCGCAGCAGCGTCTCCAAAGACCGCAGGTCGAAGATATAGGAACCCCAAAATATCCGTGCTTGTTTGGCCGCTGCGACCTCTTGGATAATCCAGACTCGGGCCCAGTAAGGTTGGGACAAGAGTTGTTCAAGAGCAGACAGCTTGAAATCAGGAGCATTGCTGTGACTGAGTCTGCTTGCCGGTCTTTCGATATCCTCGGCGGCCGCCACAAGCTCATGCATATCGTCCTCTGCACTAGTTTGCAAGCCGAGCCATATGATGACCATCTGTGCCGTACGGTATATCGCAAACATCCGTGTAACTTCCCTGCTTTTCCTTTACACCTCGTCAGCATAATCGGATCCACTGTGAGCATTGTGAGCATGACGCATTGGGCTGACCAGGCGACTCACTCGATGTTGTCTTTCTGATTGATGCAGATCGCATCAACCCAGACCGTAGAGATATTGTTCTGACGTAGCTTGTGGAGGGCATCTGCAAGGGTGCGGGACACCTCAAATGTCCGACCGTCTACCACGATGTTCACGTTGCTGTGCCTGTCACTGCTTCCCCAAGAATAAGACAAGGCCACGTATTCAGGCCTCCAGCTCAGCTTGGAGTGATAAAGCTCGAATCGTAGAACGTGGTCGTGGGAATCATGTCGGTCAAGAAATCTGAGCAGCCTGATCGAGCCCTCCGCTAGGGGGCTATAAGGGAAGGCTGTGTACGGCAGGTCAGACGTGGCAGCCGCCGCATCTCGCCCGAACAGCTTGATCCATTGTCGTGGGTAAGGCACTGTGGGTTCTGTGGGTGGAGACGAGTCAGAGACCTCGAGGGGATACCAGGCAACGCAACGTTGGAGACATAGTAGAAGAGTGCCGGCGACACAAGCCACGGCGCATAAGATCTGTACATTACTGACTTCAAAAGTCGAGAACAAGATGCAACCCAACGGCAGGATCGTGAGATACAAAGCGACCCTTTCAGCACTGCTCGTGGAAGGCCGGTTGGTGAGCTTCACTAACAAGAAGCATTGTAAGACGGCTAATGTTGCTGCGCTACCAGTGACGAGGACTGGAGGCATCATCCCATGAGCATCGATTTGACGACAGCGTCAGATAGCCAGAAAGGGACTCGACTTCCCCTGAACAGAATTGGCGGACGTAGTAGGCCATTGAGCAGGTTCGAGGGGTCGATAACATACAAGACTGATGGCGCGAACGTTGCTTGACTAGGACGATGAGCCGTCAGTGTGTACTGCCAGTTCGTAATCTCAAGCCTGTCGAGTAATTGAATCACAAGTCGAAAATGTGAGGTGGAACTTTGTGTCTCAGCGTCGAAAAATATATGCCGGGCCGTACTATACGGTGGAGCATATTTCTCCAAACGCAGTGTCCTAAGCCATCCTTCGTTGCCATCGCCACGCCTGGCTCAGTACTCGATCATACAAGCTACCACGAAGACACGTCGACGCGCGTTCATCGTCCAGCATGAGTTCTTAACGAGTTGGTCGACAGCTGTCAAAGCAGGACGCGCGAGCCCCTAGACGTCGCACTTCTGCAGGGCCTCATGTTTCTCCACCACGCCCGTCAGGCTCGACTGTCGCTCTGCCTCTGCATCGTCGTTGACAAGCTCCGCGTCTGTACTCTTCTCGGCAAGCGGCGGCGTACGTATCAGTGCCGCCACAGGCGCTCCCTCGGGAGCTTCGTCGACAAGTCGCCTCACACCCGCAGTGGCTTCGTCCGTCACGCCGACCCGCCGCGCGACCTGCTGCAGAAGTGCGTGCTGGAGTTTCAATTCGCGATGCATCTGCCTGTCAGCGAAAAAACACTCAGAGGTGAGCAAGATGCTGCGTTGCGGCGCGCCAAGGGACGAAACACGACGGATCGACCTACTCCTGGGTAATGCCGTCCAACAACACACTGACATCGTCGGTGGCATGGCTGGCGGCCACGAGCAACTCGTGCAATTCCCGCTGGGCCAGCACGAACTTGCCTTTCTGCCTCGTGCGCGTGGCGACGCCGCTGGTGGGATCGTAGTCGAGGGCCAGATCGAGGCGCTTCATCGCCTCGCCGCCCGTTTCGAAGCGGTGCTGGAGAAGGATCTTGAAGTCTCCGCCGATGTCGCCGCCGGCCTTGAGCACGTCCTCGTACTCGTTGATCATCAGCTTCCAGCGCACGTAGTTGGCGTAGGCCGTGTCCATGAGCTTGCGCTGCTCGGCGTCTGCTGAGCGGATGCGCGAGATGTAGATCCACGCCGTGGCCAGCACGGCATACACGAACGTCAGGATCCCCATGGTGTTGCCGGCGGTGGAGTAGGCCGAGTCACTGCAGTCGAGCTGCGGGTGGCAGTTGCAGTTGCACGGCGGACATTGGGACATGGTGGTTGCTGCATGGTAGTGGAGTTGTGAACGAGGTTGTGAGGTCGAAGTGGACGACGAGAAGAGATACGAGATATTAATCAGCGTTGATGGAACTAATTTTTATTTCTGTACTGTGCGTAGGGATCCTGGTGTAGAACAACACTTCACCCACCAAGCATGCTGTACCGCTGCTTCAACGCCACCGTTTCCTGCCACGCGCGTAATGCTCCTGTCCACATGAAGAAAGCAGTTCCCGCGTTACCTCGCTACCTACACAATACTGCGTCCATATCGCATCCACCTCGACGGTACGGAAATCAGCGACTTACATAACCGGGCCCTGACAGCTCCCACGGCCTGCGCTGATCGTCCGCAACCAATCTGAAGTCTGCGGCCTCACACGTGATGGGCACGAATCCTGCTTCCCTTCTCGAACCACATAAAAACTCTGCAGACTTCCCCGTCCAATGCGGCTCGATGAAGCGGGCATGCACAGAGTGCAACGTGTGTCCTGCTCGATCGTGAACACGAGCAGCGGAGCTATAAAACCTCCAGTGGTCGCTCCCAAGATCAGCATCACACACAGACGGTAGGAAATTTTCGCGCGGCGTAGAACATCCCAGTAGGTAAGCGCAAAGAGAGAGATTGTGTGTGTGTCGAGATAACACACAACCCAGCCACCGCACCAACGCAAGGAAGGAAATGATGAAAGCGTCTCTCCGGTCCCTGGCCGCGACGGCGGCGGCGGGCTGCCTCTTGCTTGCAGCAACAACCCAGGCCGCGAATCTGACGGTGTTCCAAACCGACGTGTCCTTCGTGCCGACACCGCTCCCGCCGCCCGGCCCGGCGACCAACTTTGAACGGATCATCGAGCAGTTCACGACGCTGGGCCGCACGACGGTGTGGCGGTCGGTCAAGAACATCACGCTCGACGGCGACACGGGCGAGCCCGAGGGCATGGTGGTGCTGGACGAGGAGCGCTACATCACGGCGCGCGGCGACTGGACCGCGCCCACGGTGTCGTACAACGGGAGCATCATCAACGGCACCGACCGCACGCCCGGCGCGGGCTACGCGCACCTGGAGATCTACGACGCAGAGGGCCGCCGCGTCGTCGACGCCACGCTCACCGCGCCCGGCGACATCGAGTACCACATCGGCGGCATCGACTACGACGGCCGCCACATCTGGGCCACCCTCGCCCAGTACCGGCCCAACACCACGGCGACCGTCGTCCGCGTCGACCCCACCACGCTGGAGTACACGCCGCTCATCCACTACGCCGACCATCTGGGCGGGATTGTGCACGACATCCAGGGCAACCGGCTGGCGACCCTGAACTGGGGCGCGCGGAACGCGTCCATCTGGAATCTGGGAGCCGTCAATAACAGTCCTTATCCGACCTTTTCGACACCGCGGTCCGTGGTCCCGAACCCGACCTTCTTCGTCGACTACCAGGACTGCAAGTTCCTGGGCCACTCGAAACACTACCACTACCGCGCGGTCATGGTGTGCTCCGGCGTGGCGACGCTCGCCGTCAACGTCACCGTCGGGGGCCTCGCACTCGTGGACGTGGAAACCATGGTCCCGCTGTATGAGGTGCCGGTGATGATGAAGAGCGCGCTCGGAACGGTCATGACGCAGAACCCGTTCGATATCAGGTGGAACAGCGCCGACGAGACGATGCGCGTGTATTTCTTGCCGGATCAGCATAACTCCACCGTCTATATCTATGAGCCGGTGCGCGAGAGTCCGTACCAGTATTGAAGGGAGGAGTGGGCAGCGTCGGCAGTAGAGCCCCGTCTGGACGTGTACATAATGCATTCCAAGTACATACTTAACTGGCTACATGCTCAGTACATCATATATATGGTCTTTACCTCCGTACAACGAGCTTGTGCGGAGTTTGATGGATTGAAACCGGCCAGCCGAACAACCTGACAGCTCAGCCGCAGCACCCTGTGATGTCGGAGGCGTCTTGTTTGCCATTGCTTCTGAATGCCTGTTAGTGCCCAAAAAGTAACACTGGACCAGAATATCGGGAGATTGACTAGTAAGTGCTTACTCTGTGGCAACTTGGTCCCAATTGAAGACGAGGGCTCCGAGGAACGCCCCAATGAGGATACTTATGATGATATAGCCTAAGACCGTCCTGTCAGCGTCGTGTCCAGCACATGTCGCCATATGACATGTCCCGATATGACATACCATTGTAGTACATGGCCAGAAGCATGATAAAATATGCCAACCCGAACTGGATCATATGGCCGAGCGAGCGTATGACATGTCGCTGGATCAGGATCCACCGGGCGATGCGTCGGCGCGGGAGAGGCGCGCGTGCGGACATGAGTGTGCTGATAACAGCGACGGCGACACTGTGTGCCTTGCCGGCAGGGCCTGTCCCCAGCTCTGATGAACTCGAGTATGGGTCTTCGGATCCTGCCGAAATGGCAACAAAGGCTTTGCGATCCATACGGCGGCACCAACCGTCGTATTCTCGCTGGAGCCGGCGCAGGAGGTCGAGTGACATGACGAGGAGGATCACCCCGATGCAGCAGCACACGAACATGCCCCTTGAGGTGACCTGCCAGGATTGGGAAATGAAGCAGGCTCCCACGGTGTACCAGTTCCAGGTCATGGAGATCTTGCAGGTGGTGTCTTCCATGCCGGCCATACTCATGTTGTCTGAGGCAGAGACGGAAGAGGAGACCGAGGTCATCATGGACGTTTGAGACGTTGGTGTGGCTGTCGACATCATCATCGAGGACATGGCCATGTCGATGACACTGTAGTGGTGCTTTTCTCAGCCACGGGAGGCAGTGTTGCGCAACTGTTGTTGTTGGGACAGAGGATTTCTCGAGGCAGGCGAGAGGATGCTGCAGCCGTGGCGGACAGTTCATGTCGAGCCATCCGCCGCTTGTTATAGGATGCTGCTCTGATCTCTCAATCTGTGCTGCGTCAGTATGTTCTGCGAACCGTACGCCGAATCACCGAAGGAGCACATTTCCTTTGACCGGCGTGATTGGTTCACCGCCCTGGATGAGCACGTTTGCCTACCTCTCGACTAAACTTGCTCATGAGCGTGCAAGCCGTGCCCGGGCTAGGTGAAACATTGCAAGCAGGTGAAGGGCCAAGGCCATCCTCGTCGCCTCGGCCAGCAGCAAGCTTTGTATGCCCGCCCTCGTTCTTGTCAATGCCTGCGCAGGATCGGGGAATTTGCTCTCTTCCAACTATGGTCATGGCTCGGTGTGTTCCTCCTGGGATGAGCCGTGAGACTTCTCGTGGTTTTGGACGTGATGGACTTTGCCATACCCCATCAGCATTAGGGCAAACAGGATGAGAGCGGGTTTGGCAACCAGCAGCACGCCACCTACGAGGGCAACGGCTAGGTAGACGACATTCTGCCGCGCATCCTGCTTCTTCCTCGGAGCGTCGTTCTTGGAAAAAGGAGGATGGAGCAGGTGACGGTTGTGTCTCTCGTGGGACGGCATCTTGGTGGGATCGATTGAGCGTCCAGCTGTTGAAGACAGTGGCGTTGGTCGATCACTGTTGCTTGCTTCGGTGCGATTGAAGATGCTCAACTCAAGAATGTTTCCAAGGTTGTGCATTCGACTTTTGTGCCATGTCGCAACGTTCGGCAGTGCTGAACACGGACGCTCTTGGTTTGTACCGTGCTGTTCCGGTGAACTTGTGTGGCCTCCAGCACAGAACTCGCGCAGGTCACAGGTCACTGTTCCGGATGACTGTACGAGCTCAGCTTCTCTATTCCTCCTCCTCGTATCGATGCCGCCACGAGCCCCAACTCCTACCTCCTACCTCCTACCAGTCCCTCAACTACGGGTTGGTGGGGCTCTGCCATGCCGGAACACTCCGGCATGCTGCGTCTCTTGAAGTGCCAGCGATCAGTAACTAATGTACATAGTAATCAATCCTAGCTTACGGCATATCATGCAACGGAAGACATCTCAACGATGTTCTAGAGCTTCCGTTCCTCCTTCTGGCCTTCGTCCATCTTTACGTCAAGCACGTCACTATGTGTTATGACTCGAGTTCGTGGCAGGTGTACAGCTGCTCTTCGCTCGAAGATAGGCTCGAGTCGATACACAGCGCCTACTACACGGTAACCGGGGAACAATAAGCTCGCCCAGAATCCCCCATTGCACCCAGTCCGACCACCACAGATCCCCGGGGAGGTAAGCAAGGATTGGAGTAATGAGCAGGAGGGAAGGTGGGGCTGTCCCCCGTGCATAGAGAGGAGGATACATATACGCAGGGCTCAGCATTCAGTACAAGAAGAGAGCAGGTCTCGTAGAAAAGTAATTGCTTCAAGATCCCACCTACAATTAAGCAGTAGGTAGATACACACAGACGCCACAGCCACCAGCAGTCATGTCGCCGCCGACGATCCTCCTCACCGGCGCAACAGGCTCGCTCGGCGCGTCGACTCTGGCTCACCTCCTATCCGACACCGACTTCGCCGTGGTCGCCGCGTTGAGGTCGTCCGCAAAGTCAGAGCCCTTCCTTCGCTCCAAGTACGCGGCGCACGTCTCCTCGGGCCGCCTCTCGTTCGTCGAAATCCCCGTCATGACGGCGCCGCACGCATTCGACGGACCAGCCAGCAATGGCGGCGGCGGCGGCGGCGTCGACGCCATCATCCACATCGCCACGCCGCTAGCGTACGACGACGTGGTCGACAAGGTGATCAAACCCAGCTGGACGATCGTGCACAACGTCCTGACCGCAGCGGAGAAGTCGCGCCGGGTCAAGAGGGTCGTCGTGACGGGGAGCCTCGTCGCCACGATGCGCATCCCTGAGGGCTTGTTCGCGAGCGGCAGCACCATCTCCGAGGCCGACTGGAACCCCATCACGCGGGACGAGGCCGGCGCAAACCCCTCGACAGCGTACCAGTACTCAAAGGTGCACGCGGAGAAGGAGGCGTGGAAATTCATGAACGAGCAACCCCGGGCGTTTGACCTGATTTTCCTGCTCGCGCCCTCGATCACGGGGAGGAGTCGGCAGGGAGGGTTCAAGCCGGAGAAAGGCCACCTGGGCGGCCAGCCGGGCCTATATACAGGACTATTCGACGTCGAGAGGCCAGGCTTCCTGTTTCCCATGTTTGCGTAAGTGTGTGGTCTTTTCTACTTGTCGTGCGTGTGCGGTCTTTTCTACTTGTCGTGCGTGTCTATTGGTGATTGTGGTTCGCTATACTGTGCTGCGCTCTGTCGTGCTACGTCGATGCTGACGCTGACGCTGACCCTGCTCTTTTATATGTCCAGGGATGTCGAGGACGTGGCTCGCGTTCACGTCGAGGCTCTGTCGCCCCGTATCCCCGGTAATCAGAGGTATCTGTTCCATTCGCCGGAGCTGATGGCGCCTAATGCCATTGCGGCGGCAATTCGAGAGGAATTCCCTCAGCTGCGGGACCGTGTTCCTGCCCCCGAAGAGGGGAGTGGTGGCGGGGAGCCGGCGAACTTGGTCAAGACGGACCAATCGAGGTTTGAGAGTGCGTTTGGGAAACGGACCTGGAAGTCTGCGAGGCTGTCGGCCTTGGAAACGGTGCAGGATATTGTGGATTACGAGCTGAGGAGTGAGAAACAGGCGGCATAAGGCGCGGCAGCAAATGATATGGAAGATGGAAGCACTGGACGCGACTGACTCAGACAGTATCAAAGCATCTTGACGATCCCAGCGAACTGTGCTACGCATGTGGTAAACCGGACGAGGAAGCTTGAGGTGTTTACAAATTTGGGATGAATCTCGTCACTTGACACCTTACTTAGTACATCTCACTTACATCCCAAGGGATGACATTCTGTGATGACATCTCGTGCATTTCGAACAGACCTGTGATTATGGGTATCTGATGCGTATCTGCCCTTCATTCCCTCTCCCACTGCCTCACTGCCCACTCGGCCAGTGCGCGCAAGTACCATCTTTGTCCACCCAGCACAATAAGACGATAAGACAAAGACGGAACCAGGACGCTGAAGATGAATTCCTCCGCGCAAGAATGATTGATTGATTGATTGATTGACCGATCGACTGTGCAACGCCCGCTGACCCTCGCATTGTCCAACGCCTGTTCCCAATGCACAGTATGCGCAAACCGGCAGGCCAAATGAAGTGTGTTCCAACTCTCTCGTATCTACAGTCCTGTGTGCCGTCATCCCATCACGCCTTGGCAAAGCAAAGGTCCTCCAATTTCTTGACAAACTTGACGCATCGGCTCTCCACCTCCCGAGTCCACACGTCGGCCGCCCACAGGGACAAGGTCACGCTGATGGACCAGCCGACCAAGATCGTGGCCGCCCAGGTGTAGTCGCCGGTGTCGGCCATCTGGGTGCCCATGAACCACCATATCCGATGCGGGATCATGTAACCAATCGCGTGCAAAATGGGCCCATGAACCAAGTACAGTGCGAAGCTGATTTTGCCCAAATATTGAGCCATGTCCGTGTTGAGGAGTCGGCGCCATTTCGACGTCACCGGGTCGGACCGGGCGAGCAGAAGGACGAGGATCGCGGTGCCGATGTTGGGAAAGAACTTGTCCTTGCGGTCCATCCAGTGCGGGATGAGCTTGTTCAGCGTCATGTACCCGGGCGCGTAGTCTTTCCAGCCATCGATCGGGTAGGAGAGCAGGTAGAAAGCCACGAGGAATCCCAAGACGCGGCTGATGCGGTAGAGCCATGCGCTTGCCGGGGTGGGGAGTTGATGAGTCGCGAAGTAATCTGTCCACGTGGCTGGAGGCGGTTTGTGGTCGGGTTTCGGCGAATGCGGTGGTGAAGGCGGCAGGTGGCGGTCGGGCGCCAACGTGAGCTTCTTTTCCTGCTCCCTTTCCGTGAGGAGCAGGTCGATCTGTGCCACGACGGCGCCGAGAATGTAGACCCAGACTTCCCAATGATTCCAGAGGAAGAACATGTAGGTCATGATGAGCAGCGCGGCAAGTCGCACGTATTTCTGGCACTGTGCCGTACCCATCAAGACCATGTATGTGCAAAGAGAACCCTTGAGCTCGGCCAGGATCGACCACAGATGCTGGTCATGGTAAGGATACACGGCGCCAGGTTCGAAGATGTTTGTCAAGTCGAACATTTCGCGCATCCAATATCTGATTTGGACGTAGTAGCTGGCAAACATCTCCGGCTTCGGCTCGTTCCACTCTCCAGGGAAGAGCTTTTCGTGATCCGCAATGAATGGTCGATTGGTCTCGTAGAACCCGAAGTGGATGTAATGAGCAGTGATGAGCGTGACAACAAGAACCGGCAAGTAGAGTCGGAGCGCTCGGCGAAACAGGGCGCCCGAGACTGTCTTCAGAACTTTCGATTGGGAGGTCTGATCGTTCTGGTCGAGCAGTTGAAATAGGCGGAAGGAGGTCAGGTAACCGGCGATGCCGAAGAAGAGGTGAGCAGTGAAGCCTGCATAGAAGTAGCGGATGATGGGTAGTTCGAGGAGGTAATGATGGCGGTCATCAGTTCCCCACGGTTGAAAGCAGATATCCGTGTATGCGAACACATAGTGGAAGGTGAACACTTTGATCGATGTGATACCTCGGAGGCCGTTCAGGTAGCTGGTAGAGAACTGTTTTGGCTTGGAAGCATGGTCATTAAAGTAGCGAGAGCGCACAAATTGGGGAGCGAAGCAGTAGGCGAATCGTTTACCGGCCTTGAAGGCGTTCGCTGGCGTGGCCTTGGAGGCGGCTTTGGCAAGCAGCCGTCGAGGCAGTTGCCGAAGGGACTGTCTTGCGAGACTGAGAGAGTCATCGTTTGAGTCCGAATCCAGGAAGACATCCCTCTCATCCTTAATGAGAGGTTCTCGCAGGGTCGGGAGCTCGTGAAGACTCATGGTGATCGCATGACACAGGAACGAGTTGAAGATGGTCGAGGGAGCACGGTGGATTGAGTCCCTAGAGTCGACAGTGTTTAGAACAGTGGGATGAAGTGAACTGGAGAGACAGGGCGCGCCCGCGCCCCTGAATCCTCCGCCTTGCAAATTACCCCGGGTCGGGGGGGTGAATGAATGAGGTTCGGTCAAAAGAGTGTCCTGCAAGACCAAGAGTCACAAAGGAATGAACGCAGCGGGCCTCTACAGTAAATGAGCGTCCACGAGCCCAACAAGCAGAGAGACCGACTTAAGCAAGAGAACGCGATCTTGATCAAAATCACGACATGTCTTTGACTGGCGTCGCCGAGACGCCAGAAGTTTGATGAAGCCCCCCTGCCAGCCCCTTCATCCCCTTGCTATTTGCTCGCATGCGGAGCGGCGCCTTCCACCAGCCTGATGAGGCTGAGGGCCGCCCGCCCAGATCCACTTCTACAGCCTTCTTATGGCAAGCGCGCCTTCCGGCTGGGCGCCTCCCTGCATTAGGCACGAACCCCCGGCCGAGCCGCTCTGCTTGGCGACGCTGCTTCCACCAGTAACCGAAACATGCCGGGAGAAGCGCAGCGTGCCACGGCGACATGACTCCGAGGGAGTGGGTACTGGGACACAAGTACGAGCTACACCTCTGTGTCGCTTTGCCATGCCGAGATCCCTTGGGTTGAACCAGTACTGGCTACGCTATACTGTCCGAAGAGCGACTTCTGTTCTCGCCCTGAGTCAAACCACGGAGTTCGTCCTCGTACTGGCTCGATCACCACGCGGCTCCATCCCCCTCCAGGCCGAAATTGAAAAGAGGAGCCCCAGACCCGCCACGGCTTTACGCGAACCCCTGAAATCATCGTCGTCTGGATTCTTAAGGATTGCTCTCTCGCTCAACAACAGTGCATCATGGGACTCCGCGCACACACGATCCGAAGCCACACGAGTTTGGCCATTTGCGCGCCGCACTGATATTGCGCCGTCAAGTATGAGCTCGTCTCGTCAGCGAGCGCAAGCACACAACGCGAAGGGGCGAAATCGTTGTTGAAGTTTGATCTCCACGAACCCTTTTCCCTGCGTGTGTCACTGGTACGAGTACTGTGAGTGTCTCAATGCAACCGATTCTGCCCGTCAAAAGTCAGTTGGGCGGCGTCCGATCTGCGCTTCTCTCCCCCGGAATAGTCTCACGACAGAAGACCATCACCCGCTAAATGCCGTACCCGAGGCAACCTGCTCATGCCGCCAACTTCCATGCCTTAATCAGTGTAGCGCCCAGGAAAGAAGGTCGCCGGCCAAGATCTGTTGCGTGAAGATTGACGGCAAAATCTTGAAGCGCGGGTTCAAGTGCGCTACGATTCAATCGCTCGATGCTCGAGGGCGCAGCCAAGAACCGATTCTACGTGGACACAGTGGGGCGGATGGAAGACATACACAATATATCGCGAGAACTTGCAGAACGATATTCGTCTCTTGGGCGCCTACGCTCTCGGGCCCTTCGATGTCTGGCTTGTACTCTGCTTGCCGGGCTCTCAATAGTCCTCTGTGTCTTCGGTAGTGGTTGGCAAACAGAATCTGCAAAGAGGTGCCACACCGAAAAGATGCACGGATACCCCTGCGTATACTGTCACCTCCGCCGTCGTCGCCATCAAAATGGCCTCACAGCTGGCCCGTATTAGCTGGTAAGTGGTTGATGCTCCTGCTCTTCTCATCCACGTGACACTACCGGTAGGGTTCGGCTGTCACTCCGGCGCAGGTGCCATCACGTGGCTTCTTCTATCGATAAGCGGGCTTGAGCTTTTAACTGCAGAAAAATTCTAGGCACCCCCACTGTGCCCGTTCAACCCAGTCCTGGCGCTTCTGTCGCCTCCAGCACCCCAAAAACTATCCAGTACGCATCAAGCGCACATCATTCGGGCTTCACCGATCGTCGAAATGCAACATCATAGGGTCTAGCCAGTTCGACTCAAGCTACAAAATGCTGTCCCTGCGAAGGGCTTTTCACGTCTTTCTTTTCCTCTCGTTCCGCATCTCATTCCCAGGCCTTGCCCTCACCCCTTCCACAGTGAGCGACTTCTGGAGTTTTGCGCTCACTTCTCGTCATAAAGCTCCAATCCAGCCCTATCCTGCGAATAGTAGTCGTTCGTGTAGCATCGACCGGCAGCTATCTTGAGATTTTCTCTTTTCCCGTGGAAAAGCGACCCCGTTCTTCACCATGAGCGACTCCAAGGCCATTGACGTCGTGCGCGCCACCAGCGTCGACCTCGGCCGCGACTACGGCACCGGCAGCGGCTCGTCGTCGCGCTCCCCAGTCATCGCACACGGCCATCCTGAGATTGTCGATTCGAGCCCCGACCGTGGAGGACAGATCGCGCTCGCCGCGGACGATTCCAAGCCGCAGGAAGGATGGCGCGCGAAACTCGCATTCTTCAGGACCCGAGATTTCTGGTTCATTCTGGCGCTGGGACAGGTCCTGGCGATCTGTATCACCGGCACGAACACGCTGACCACGTTGCTTGCCATGGAAGGAACCAGCCTGCCCGCGTTCCAGACGCTGTTTAATTACGTGTTGCTTAATATTGTGTATACGGGGTACACGCTCTACAAGTATGGGTTCAAGAAGTGGGGACGCATGGTATTGAAGGACGGGTGGAAGTGTACGTTTTTCTCTCTGTTTTCATCAGCGACAGGCCCGCAACTGACGCTGCGATGCAGACATCATCCTCGCCTTTTTCGACGTCGAGGGCAATTACTTCACCGTGCTGGCCTACCGGTACACCACGATCCTGTCCGCACAGCTGATCAACTTCTGGGCCATCGTCATCGTCGTCATCATCTCCTTCACCTTCCTCAAGGTGCGCTACCACTGGGCGCAAGTGCTCGGCATCTTCGTCTGCATCGGCGGCATGGGCCTGCTGCTGGCGTCCGACCACATCACGGGCTCCAACGGCGGGGACGTCTCCTCGGGCAACCAGCTCAAGGGCGATCTGTTCGCGCTGCTGGGCGCCACCTTCTACGGCCTGTGCAACGTCTACGAGGAGTGGTTCGTCTCCGGCCGCCCGCTGTACGAGGTCATCGGCCAGCTTGGCTTCTGGGCGACCATCATCAACGGCACCCAGGCCGGCATCTTCGACCGCCACAGTTTCCGCCACGCCACCTGGAACGCCAAGGTCGGCGGCTACCTCACCGGCTACACCCTCATCCTGTTCCTCTTCTACACTCTGGTCCCCGTGCTGTACCGCTTCGCGTCGGCCGCTTTCCAGAACATCTCCCTGTTGACCGGCAATTTCTGGGGCGTCATCATCGGCTTGCGCGTCTTTCACCTGCACGTCCATTGGATGTACCCCATTGCCTTTACGCTCATCATGATAGGCCACTTTGTGTATTACTTTGGCAAGGGCGTGCTCGGCGAAGCCGCCAAGGCGTGGTTGGGCGAGAACCAAGAGAAGGGGATCGATGGGTTCGGCAGCGCGAAGAGACGGTTGAGGCTGATGCAGGAGACCGGAAATGGGACGAGGGGCCAGGAAGGTACCGAGAGCATGGGCGTTGTCTGAGTTTCTCGAGGGTGAATGAAGCTTGGTCGGTTGGTCAGTCGGTGGTGTGGCGAGCAGCAGTGATTTGAGATGCTTGGGAGCTAGTCTCAGGCCATCCATCATCAACGATACTTTCCTGCATTTGGTTGGATAATGAGACGGTGGCTAATGTGAGAGAGACAGCTGTGTAACCGTTCGCTGAATCTTACAAGACCTCTGAAAGGAGAGGGCGCAACATAGAGCGTTCGCCTTCATGTCTGACAAGACATCGGAGAAATGCTTGGCCGATGATATACGCAACATAGAGCAAGAAAACGAGAAAGACATATAACGATTACCTTCGTACACGCCCAGATCGTGGTAGTGTGGGAACGAGACCATCTCCGAGATATGACCTGGCGAGCACAAAAGCGACTGCAGGTCGACTGTCCATCCATGGTGTCTTCTTTCTATCTCAAAGGTGGGGTGGCAAGATGAGACGACCGTTCTTTTGCGGTGGCAATTATCGATCAACCTTTGCGTAAAGGCGAGCGAGTGCATAAGGTAGGTACAGACGTTCTTTTGGAACATATCGTGTCTCCACGGACCGAAGACCGGTGTACCAACCACATACCCAGCCGAGCATCAAGCCGTCTTGAAAATCACCACGCGACTGCGTCTCGACTCATCCCCAAAGAGGTGTGAATATTTTTTTTGGTGGTTCTTCTGTTCCGTCCATTTTTTCCAGACCCACTGCAGTATGCATCATATGCAAAGCCACGCCATGGATGCATGAACGCAGAGCAGAAACAGTCATCTTTTCCTCCGGTATCACCTATCGCACATCACACACCACACGCACGCACAGCCCCAACCAACACACTCGGACAGAAAAACGTGGTGCACGTTTCTCGAGGATGAAGGGTGTGGGGTTGGGGCGAGGGCGTGTGTGAAATGATAGGTGCTCTCCCCTCCCCTCTGTGTATGCTGCAGCCAACCTCTCCTCTATTGCTCCGTCTGGAAGTAGTTCAAGAGGACGTTGCGCTCCTGGCTCTCCTCGCCCCAGTCGCGCACGACGACGCACGAGCAGTTGACGACCTTCCTGGCGTTGCCCTCGCGGTCCAGGACGCACAAGCCAGCCCACTCGCCCAGCATCTTCCCGTCGGGGACCTTGATCAGCGGGATCTTGTGCTCCGAGCACAGCGCGATGACGAGCTTCTTGTACGCCTCTTCTTCGCAGGCTTCGTTGAGGACGCACATGTGCGCTTGGCGACGGTCGAGGGCTTTGGAGGCTTCACGCAGCCCGCGGGCCAGGCCGTCGTGAATGAGGGCGAGTTTGAGCACACCTGGCGGGCCCCGCAGCGTCAGCGATGGAAAATCTTCTGTTTTGACATTGCGGCGTGGACGGTGGACCATCCTTTTGGGCTACCAACACATCTCATGGTGGGCGTATTGTAAGGGGAAACAAGGGACGACAACAAAGAGACATACCTTTCAAGGCGTCGAGGACAGACATGGAACCACCGGAGGCGCCAGCATCGCCAGAGACTTCGACCTCGTCGGCCGCGGCGACCTCTTCAACTGGGGAAGTGGGCTCTTCTCCGTCCGACTGTGACGACAAAATGTGTGTCAGTAAAGTTGATCAAACAGATGAAAACGATAGAGATAGGCAATCCTCCTCGGTCAATTTGTCTTCAGGTCCAGTCCCCAGCAGGCCCAATCCATCTCCAGATCAATGACCATCGACACCCTGGACCTTGCGTGACAGAGACCGAGCGACGATGGGAAGAAGAATGGGGGACGACATACCATCTTGGCGATTCGTTAACTTGATTGCAAAAGTGTCGGATGATCCTCAAAGAGTCAACTGGTGAAAGGAATGGATATCATGGAAAGAACGCAAAGCGTCTGGAAGATGCAAAGCCGAATATTGATCGGAAAGTTTGGTGGACCGCCAAGCCTTGCCAAGATTGAATTTGTCTGTTTAGTCACGTGACTGTCTCCCAGGAGCAACCTGGTGAAAACAACAACCGGATTTAGCCAAGGGAAAGGAGGCTCGTTACACTGCAGGACTTCATCAAAACATTCGTTGATTAATTGTCAGGGGGCCGCCTTCGTCATACATCGTATGCTGTGGTCGTTATGTTTCTGCAAGTGAATGGGTCTACAGCCAACCGTGGAAGGCATTAAAAGAGTCCACCATATTCCGTAATCCATCAGCGGTTTCCAGCGCCGCCTTTTCACACACGACAAGTGCCAGAAAATCCTAGGGTCTTGCTCACAAGGTTTCTGCCCATGTGCGCTTCCGTAGGCGGACAAGGTCCTTCCTTCACACGTGCTCAGACAACTAATCTTCTCGACGAGGGTATCCGAATCCATTGCCATTGGCCGTAGGTGACGAATGAGGATTTATGCCGTTTGCCAGCTGCGGCGTCTTCCCGTGGGCGAAGTCTGGAAGTGACGCTGGACTGTGAGGCGTTTGCCCGTTGCCGTTCATTTGACGGGAGGGCAACACTCGCAACGAGATCGGCTGTTTTCCAATGTTAAGACTTGCAAGGTGAGGGTGACGAAAGACTTGATCTTCGAAATCGGAGAGCTGTCGAGGTCAGTATACGACGGTCCCAACGCCGGAAAGAACATACCTTGACCCAGAACAGTTCCTCCATGGCATAGAACTTTGGTCGCTGCTCCTCCTCGCGCTGTATGGCCTGTTTGATCGTAGTGTTCCAGTGGCTGGTCTGAACGTCATACGACAGGCTGTTTCTCGCCACACTCCACAGACGCTGCCGCTCATGCATGGTAACGGGCCGCGTCTCTAACGAAGTGTAGTTGCGGAGGTTCAGATCTTTGGTCGCAAGCAGTCCAGCAACTTGGAAATTCGGTACCCACAGCTCGTTCTTGTTGGCATCCGGAGTGTTCGGATCGAGTTGAACCGACTTGGCCGTGTACAATGGCAGGAAGAGTTTGAGCCAGGCTCCGCTTCTGGCTTCGGGATCGTTTCGGTCAATCAAGATAGCAGATTGCTTGAGCAGGGCCGGCAAAGCATCTCGACGGCGTTCCTCGGCCTCCAGACGTTCTCTGCGTTGCTGCTCCCTAAGCAGCTCCTCCTGTCGGCGTTGTTGCTCCTTCAGCTGCTCTTCGTGTCTCCGTTGTCGTTCTTCGAGCTCCCGTCTGATTCGTTCTTGTCGCTCTTCTTCTTCCCTCCGTCTTAGCTCTTGACGCTCTTCTTCCTCCTTCCTTCGTTGCTCTCGACGCTCTTCTTCTTCCTTCTTTCTCAGCGCTTGACGCTCTTCTTCCTCCTTCCGTCTTAGCTCTTGACGCTCCTCTTCCTCCTTCCGTCGTTGTTCTTGGCGCTCTTCTTCTTCCTTCTTTCGAAGCGCAGCTTCCTCTTCGGCTTTCTTGAGACGTGCAGCTTCTTCGGCAAGACGTCGTTCTTCTGCCGCCTTCTCAGCCGCGATTCTCTCCGCTTCGGCGCGCTTTGCCTCCTCGGCTTTGCGCGCTTCCTCCTCTCGCTGTGCCTGAAGCTCAGCCTCACTTGGACCAGGATCAACCAGCTCAGTCTTGATCTCTTCAGTCGTCTCAGTCCGTTGAAGCGGTATGTCACTCTCGGAGACTGTGGATGTGGGAGCTGCCGTGACCTGTGTCCGAGTGAGCGCTTCAACTTCAGGCTTGTCAAGATCCATCGCTTCTGCTGTCTTCTCTTGTACGACCATGTCCGATCCTGACTTCTCGCCCCTCAAAACACTTTCCTCCAAAGCCTTACGTTCACGAACTGGAGACGAAGACACAATGCTGCTCTTTCTGAGACCGGGACGAGTCTCTTCAGGGCTGCTTTCAATAACTGTTCTCCGCTTCTTTGCAGCGCTCCGACCGTTTTCACCTGCACCTGCTACAGGGCGCCCAGGTGAGACACTATCTCTTGTGCGCTTCAATAGTGTACCTGACCTGGCTTCTCCCTTCACCGAAACCGCATCTTCATCTGATGACGCTCCGACATTACTTCTGCGTCTGCGATGCTCTTTCCCAGTGACAAGTCTTCTACGCCGGTGTGCAGCAGGGTCAGGATCTGGGTTGGATTGTTGCGAGAAGTCGCTCTGGCTTCGGCGCTTGACATGGCCTTTCCTCGCCGAATGGACTGTTTGGTCTTGATCAGAGGACACCGCGACAGAGAGGTCGGCTATGTCTCGCTTCGCAGCATTATGCTTGCGCCTCTCCATGCCATCGACGGTACCAGCGTCCAGATCCCTATCCCTCTCTGAAGAGTGCGGCGACTTGCCCGGTAACTGTTTGTGCGTCAATGACGGGCTCGCGGATTTTCCCAACTTGCTGGGAATTGGAGATTGGGAGCGGCGACCGGACCGAGGCTTGAGTTTGTCTGCGTCTCTGGTGGCTCGGGGCGATGTTGCCTTGCGGTGCTTGGACGCGTATTTGTCGTATGCAGTTTTGAGAATCTCATACTCCTTCTGCCACTGCTCTCCCCGTCGCTCGGCAGAAATCTCATGATAAGACTTCCCCTTAAGAAGCTTTCTCATGGGGTTGAAACCTGATTGCTCGACCAGGAGCTTGACGACTTCTGGATGGCCCTTGCCAATGGCTGCCAGCAGGGGGGTATTGTAGCCGACTTTGAGGTGCCGAATTGGATCAGGATCAGGTTCCGTGTCTCCCATCGCTAAGAGGTATTGTAAGACTTCCTCGTGTCCCGCTTTGGCCGCCGCGATCAAAGACTCTGTTTCCGCTTTCTGCAAGACGTTGAGAATATTGGCCACACCCTGCACATCACCTTGTGCCGCAAGTTTCTTCAGGTTCTCCTGCGTATTTGCCTGCCATAGGAGATCATTTCTCGTGGATTCACTTCGACCAGTCCTCCGTCTTCCAAAGCCAGCGGGCGGACTTCTAGGTCCTATCATGGGCGGCGAATCGCGCGGACTGGCCGCGGAAGCGGCTCTGGAGGAAGCGCCATCGCGCGGCGCGTCGGTGTAGTCCATAGAAACTCGATGGCTGTTAGGTTTGTCTTTCGCGTCGGCCAGCAATGCTCGGATCTCATCATAGTTTTCGTCATCAGGAGGAACAAGTTCGTATGGTTCGTCGCCCTTAGCGTTGCCCAGACGAGGATTTGCCCCGTGAATCAGGAGAAGTTTAACGACTTCAACATGGCCGTTCTCGACCGCATCGATAAGTGCGGTGTCTCTGTCGATGTTTCGTGTATCCACTTCGCATCCGTTCTCCAGCAAAAATCGTACGATTTCGACATAACCTTGCAGTGCGGCAATTTGGAGCGGTGTGTTGCCTGCGTTGTCCGGTAAGTTCAAGTCTTCCGGTCTCTCAGCGTATTTAGTCTTGACTGCAGCAAGATCGTTGTTACTTGCAGCACGCGACAGGAAGGTACGGCCATTCTTGTCGCGCCATTTGCGCGGGCCCGTGACTTTTGCCGGCGACATAGTATCATGGTCGACGGATGAGTACTTGTGCAAATCAGGTCGAGGCTGCTGAGGTGAATCTGAGTCCGAGTCTGAGCTCATAACGATGCGGTTGTGATCTGCCGAACCACTCCTCTTAGTCTGAATGGCCGGAGGCCGACCGCGTTTTTTCCTTTCTACGTCGCCAAGCGTTAACTGAGTTGACACGCCGCGCCTGTGTTCCCGCCTCAGCGGTCTTGGTGATGGAGATCGATCTTCGGATTTGTGACGAGGGTAAGTCGCTGATCTGGTTTCGCGGCGTTCCGTGGAGCCTGGGTCTGCTCCGCCGCCAGTGTTCTTTGCACGTTGTTTGCTTATCGAGGGGAGGATGTCGCTCGGCCGCCGCTTGCGAGTCTGATGCTTGGCCGACTTCTCAACGGGAGAGTCTGAATCGGCTGCGTCGCTTTCAGGTCGCCGACTCGTTGGCTTCGATTTCCGGGATGCGATATGGTTTGATACATCTGAATCACTATCTGGGGTATGCAACGGTATTCGGGGTGATGATAACGGTGAGCTGCGACGACTTGAGGTGGAAAACGCTTCATCATCGTCCAGACTACGCTTGCGCTTTCTCGAATTCGAGTCATTATCGGTCGCAATTGCTGCAGCAGATGGATCGCCATCTTTAGTTCTCGGTACGCTTGCTGATCCGGCGACAGATGCGCTATCAGCAGCCGTCCTCTGCTTCTCTGGTGACTGGATCAACGTTTCAGCCTCTGAATCGCCATCAGCATCCGGCTCAGCGGGAACATCAACCATGGTCTCGCCTGCGCCGCCAGATGCTGCGGCAGGGTCCGAAGTCATGACTGCCGCCTTGTGAGCAGTATATGGCGCACTCGGATGATTCTTGCCGGATGCCTGGTTGGTGGTCTGCTCCATTGGGGCATCTTGAGGCCCATTGGAGTCGACCACCTCACTCATGGCTGTGTTCGCCTCCTCTTCATTCTTGTCCTGATATTTGCCGTCGGCCGTTTTGTCTGAGAAAGAACGTTGCGAGCAGAGCGGGAGGCTAGGAAGGACGTGTAACGGGTCCCAGCGGTGAACGAGGCCGGTTTGCTGCTTGGTGTTCCCAATCGATGGCTCAATTGACTGTGAGTAGCTGCTGATGAATGTTCAGGCTACCCGAACCGGCGCACAGAGATCAAGCAGTTTGTTTGAATGACTTCACCGATGGCTTCACCACATCAAGTGAGATACAGACAGACAAGCACAGCGACTTGGAGACGAAACTCGATCAAGACCAAGATTAGGTGGCTTTGGCTCGGCACGTGATTTAATTTAGGATTGGTGCCGGGCTCCCCCAGGCCTTAGTCCCAGGCTTCTTTGCAACCTGGGCAGCCTAGAGCGCCTCCCAAAATCGTGTGCCAGCTAATCCACTTACAGCCGGACCTTTCGATCAGCACCCATCCAATTTCCACTCCCAGGCCCCGCTCATCCTGTCCCCTCACTCTGTTTTCACGCGCATCTTGGCTGATCGACCTCTTCGTGTTCTTGTTGCAAACTCTCCTCCAGTTGAACCAGGACGACCACCTGGGGTCTGACAAGAGGGCTGTCAATGGCAATACCGCCCACTGTGGTTATATGGGCCGTCAGGGTTTTCTACCTCTTCAGCTCTGTTGCCATCATCACCGTCCGCCTGATACCGGTCTTCGCTGACAGGTTTCTGGCATACGGCGCAAGGGCGCGGCGTCAAACAATTCACAGGCGTGGCAAGCGAGGAACTGCAGGCAAAAGTCAACAGTCGGTAGGCACCCAGCTCCTCGACCACCTTGCTACATGTACTGTGCCTCATTCGTGGTTCACACACTTCTACGTCCTCTCTCTTGTGTGCTCGCTTACCACCTTGTCAACCTTCTGCTACTATGAGTATTATCATCAAGCAACGATCAAGCAGAACCCGGACCTTGTTACCGCGGCCTTCTGTGCCCATCTGATGCTGTTGCAAGGCCTGCGGAGACTGCTCGAATGTGTCTACGTTACTCAAAATGGCACGTCACGGATGTGGGTTGGTCACTATACAATTGGCATGGCGTTCTACATAGTCACCAATGTGGCAATCTGGATTGAGCAATTATGGCGACCGCCTTCAAGTCCAGCCACAGCAGAACCAAGCATTCTCTGGACATGGAAGACGATCCTCTGCACCGTCGTTTTCTTCGGCGCCTCAGAACGACAGAGCCGCTATCACCAGTATCTATCCAGCCTGAAAAAATATTCGTTACCGGAGAAATACGCGTTCCAATACTTGATAGCGCCGCACTACACCATGGAGTGTGTGATCTACCTGAGCATGGCCCTCCTGGACGCGCCCTTCATATTCAACCAGGGGAGCCAGCTCCCGACACCCACGACGATCAACTGGACGCTCGCCTGTGCCCTGATGTTTGTGGTGGTGAACCTTGGTGTCACAGCGGACGGGACCAAGGAGTGGCAGCGCAAAAAGTTCCACGACCAGAGGTTCGAGATTGCGAAGAGGTGGAGGATCATTCCATGGTTGTTCTAACAGACCCGACGACCGGCATGCGAGCGACGTGCCATGCGTTTGTGCGTTATGAGGCTGCCATGGGTTTACCACCTCTCGCCTTATCTATGCAGGATAGTGCTTCAACAACCAGATCAAGACGAATAGTGCCTCAATTTCTCTTTTGAGACCTACGGTTCCTGGCGCCTTGTGAGGTCCCATCTCTTTTGATGCCCAAGCTCAATTCCAGCCTGGCATCCATTTATCCGTCATGTCCTACAACAGCGCCGGCGCCTACATGCATGCAGTCATGGCGACGAATTCTTCTTTCGTCTTCTTGCATTCGGTATCTCCCAAGGGCCGCCAGTACTCTATCATTCTTGGGCTTGTCACAACCCCAAGAAGAATAGAATACTTCTCAGGCTCAACCGGGCCGGCCGTCTTGTTGATTCCACATCCTTGTCACTGCCTCGAGGCCTTGTCGTCGCGCTCTCGGTCCTCCTTCTCAGGTGTCATGTCCTTCTTATCGTCTCCCGCCTTTTCGTCTCGCTCTCGACCATTCTTCGCTTCATCCTCCTCCGAGCTCAATCCTCTGACTGCCGCCTTGACCTCCTCTCTGAACCTGTCGATGTCCTTGCGCTTCTCCTCCCGCCACGCCTCCTTCTGTTCCTTCTGCTCCTCATCCTTCCTCTTTCTCTCTTCATAGACCTTCTCCATCCAGCCCTTGGCCTCGTCCACGGCCTTCTGGGGATCTTTCTTGTGCATCAGGAGATAATCCTGCAGATCTGCAGGCGAGAAGTCATCCTCCGGGACCAGTGCCGCGAAGGCCTCCGCCAAGCCCCGTAAGCGCGTGGTCTCCTCGCCATCGCGCAGCCCAAGCTCATCCTTGGGCTTCTCATCCTCGGTCGGCGTACTCGGCCCAGCAGCCTCTTCCATCCCCCGCAAGCTCGCAGAGGTGGGCAAATCGATGAACATGCGCAAGAAGATCTCCTCGGCCTGGCGTTTGCTCGCGTTCTTGAACCCCACGCGCACACTGATGCGGCCGGCACGGACTAGTGCGTCGTCCAATTCGTTGGGTTTGTTGGTCGTCCTTTTGTTTCGCCTATCTGTTAGCCGGTCACCAGTCACATACAACGGCGGGTATTTTGCTTGCGTGAGGGAAGAAAAACGGCCACACAAACTCACATGATCAAAACATGCCCCTCTGGCGCCGCGACACCGTCGATCGCATTCAACAACCCACTCAGCGTCACCCGCGAGTTGGTCCCGGCTTCGTCATCGTCGTTGACGTTGTAGTCGTCCGCATCACGCGGCACCTGGCCACGTTTGAGGCCGCTGGCCCAGGACGCCCCGCCGCGTCGTGCGGCTGCTGTGGTAGACTTCCCCTTGCGATTCAGACCCGCGGTGTCAATGTCCTCGAGCAGCAGCAACGACCGACCAGGCAGCTGGTTCAGCAGGGAAATCAAGTCCGAGTCCGTGAGATCGTTGTCCAGCAGCGACAAGTTATACACGTCCAGGTTGAACTTGCTCGCGATGGCGAGGGCGAAACTCGTCTTCCCGACGCCCGGCGGTCCGTGGAACAGGTAGCCTCGCCGATAGGGGATGCCGTGGTTGGCGTAGAAGGTCATGGTCGCTTGGTCCATGTACTCGGCCACGTCGGCGAGGACCTTCTCCTTCTGCTCCAGCTCGAGGATGACCGTGTCCAGGGCCCGGCGTGGCTTGCTCGTGACGCGGCTCCACGTCTGTCCGCCTCTGTAGGGTCTGCGGATGATCGTCAGGGAGCGCTCCCTCGCCTTGTTGAGAAAGTAGATGTGCTCGATGAGGTCCTTGATCGGCTGTGTCGTCCGGCCCAGGCACGAGATGGAGATGATTTCCATGCGCTTGTAGCGGTTGCCGAAGTAGGTGTGTCCCTCGCCAAACTGTCGCGAGCAGAAGAACAGACGCTTCTTGTGCACGAACAACTGCGTGCCTTGGCCTTGTTCGTACTTGATCTTCGGTGGCTCGTTCATGCGCTTCGTTTCCTCGACGTCGGGATCGTGGTGGCGAACTCGTCGCCGGCCCGTGTCCTGCGGCGTGTTGGACATGGCGTTGAGGACTTGATCTGCGCGGAGGGTCCGGTGGTCCGATATCCACGATGTCAGGTAGCCGAAGAGGTCTTCGTCGGAGCTGACGTTGATGGTGGCGACAATCATGGACGAGAACTGTGTCCATAGTGACTTTAGTCGCGCGATCGGGCCAAAGTAGTACAGCGCGAGAATGACGCCGAAGAAGCGGAAGAGGAAGGGATATTGCTCGAGGAGAGGTCGCGCTCCAGGCAAGAATGACGTGATGATATATTCGGGGAGCTCGACGAGGCTGCTGCCGCCTGTAATGGCAGTCTTTCGCATGCGTTGGAGATCCATTGTGGGAGACTGTGAAGGAAGTCACCTCTGATATTGACGGGGACTGGAGATTGATAGAGGCGGACGACGGATCATATGTCGAGTCCAAGTCTCACAAGACCGATTGATAAGTGACAACAGCGGTGCAATTAGTCTGCAGGATCTGCAAGGCAACAGTCTGGACGGGATCGCCTGAAAGCTGTGGCGATGACCGGATTGCACCAGTCAAAACGCAATGGCTTTCTGCCTAAAGACATCAACTATGTTCCTGTGTCGTCTACCTCCCTGGCCGTAGAATTTCCGAAGATCATGGAGACGGGAGTCTGCTCAAAATGGTCCGCGCTGTACTCGCAAATTTTCTGTTCTGTGTGACCTGTCAACGAGCATGGGTATGTCTGCAGGTTGCCGCACTTTCAAGCATTCGGTACGAGTAGCACCAGCAGGCAGCAAGTGACTGGGATCATATCGATCTTGATTGGGCAGCCGGGCTATGATCATACAAATGTGGAGTGAGGGCATAGGTAAGACATTCAGGGATATTCTAAACATTCATGGTGGGAAGCCGTGCATGAGAATTGCATATCGGCGATGAGCGGACGATTTGTCGCTGCCAGGAGTCATGGAGCTTGAACTTGACATGAACAACCCAATCATCAGTCCCAGCTTAAGCCCTGCTGCCTACAACCCGCCCAGCAGATATGTGAGGTAAGGTACGGAGTATACAGCTTTTTCATCACTCCGCGCCTGACATTATGTGTACCGTGCGGCTCTGCAACGGCCCGGAATGGCTTGTGTGGCTTATACTCCATGTACGTCTGCCACAGTTGAAGCTAGAATGAGCGAAGATATTCGTCCCTTTCGGCCAGCTCATGTCTTTCTCGTCAATCACTAAATTTCCAGCGGCTTCCATTCCCAAGACACCTCTCTGCTTATTGGGAAGCGGAGGAAGTTGTCCCATTACGATCTCCGGAGACCATTGTTCTGGATCCATCACAGGCTCTCGAATCCAGATATATAATCACATCGAATCCTTTCTCGTCTTCAGTCCCGCTCCAGAGAGTACTCAGTAGTGATTCCATAGTGCCCAACAGTTGTGATGTCCGTCCTTCCAAAGCTTCCACATTTTCCGAAATGATATCAGTCTCTGCGCATCGCAATGTCATCTCCGCGCGAGGGGTTCAAGACTGGATATGGTATTGTATCCAACAGCGACGAGAGCCTTGTAGTCACGCACAACATAACGAGGGCAATGTAGGTGGAAAGATCATAGACGGACCAGCGACCATGATCATATTGGAATATGGCGTCTTGGCTGTGCGTTTCACCAATAGCATCAAGGATGTATTCCGTACAGTGTGGTGGACAGCAAATGGCCTGGGACGAAGCCACGGAGTCGGTATCGAGCGACAGAGAGGAGTCAGTGTCCACGATTGAGGGGTTCGGTTGATATGCGGTAGACCTGGGCTCTTTTTAAGACTCATGAATTACAGTTCCATTGCATACCCCAACTCCTTGCGCAGGACAACTCGGTGCATCAAAAGAGATAGTGCCCAGCAGCGGGAAGCCGGCAGAAAAGGGTGCGCCAAAGGTCGGCGAGAGCTCTACATTAGCAAGAGAACTACGACGGGAGAACGAGTCGCGACAAATTGTTGAAGTGAAAGTCGCATCTGGACTTGAGAGCTCGGTGAACGGGAAATGAGGCGGAAAATACTCCGTACTCGATGTGTGCTCGTACCTAGCTCATAAAGGTTGACGTCATTGGCCTCGCAGAATCTTGGGTGTTTCTTTGTGATTCTCGTCATCGCCTCTCTGCCACAGCCAACCTGTCAACAACTTTGTGGACACTTCACCTTCTCCTTAGTTGAAAAGACCATGTTACTTGGTAGTTGAGGCGGTCTCACTGTCTACCTCTCGCTTCAACATCATGCCCGCTGTTCAGCGCAACGGGCGCACAGTCTCAACGCAGGACAGGCCAGAGAAATCATCACAACAGTCCACTACCCAAGCAATGCCTACCAGCCGACCGAGGCCGTCCTCCTACCTCCTCCTCGTCTACCCCGTAATCTTAGCGTTGGGATCCCTCTTCTCCATTCTCTCGCCAATCGCAGCGCCTCCGTCAGAACCACTTACGCCTGGCATCGCATCAGACTTGAATGCGCCGCATTTCCACCACGCGAACTACTTCGCAGGCAAGCGCAACATCGTCAATGTATACTTCGTCAAATTCGGCTGGTTCTGGACAACACTGGCATTTGTGTTGCTCCAGATCACCATCCGCCCAGCAAATCAACGACACTACGTTCAGACGGGCCTGCGTTACGCTCTGGTTACGCTGTCGTGGTTTCTCACCACGCAATGGTTCTTTGGGCCAGCTCTCATCGACCGCAGCTTTACAATTACAGGGGGCCACTGCGAGCCTCAAATAGTCAATACCACGGGGTTAAAAGAGGCAGTAGATATGAGCAGGATCAGCTCCGGTCTGGCTTGCAAGGTGGCAGGTGGTCGATGGCGCGGAGGCTATGACATCTCAGGCCACGTCTTCATGCTAGTCCTCTCGTCTGCCTTCCTCCTTTATGAGCTGCACATATTTGATCGCGACTCTTCACACCCATCTGTCTCGCCTCAAGCAGCAGCACGGCTGGCGCACGACATGACCGAGGAAGAACGCAAGGCAGTAGGAGGCTGGGAAACAGAGACTCAAGCGCGGATCAGAATTTGGTCAAGATTCTTTGTCTATGCGGTCGTCTTGTTGGATTTCTGGATGCTGATGATGACCGCCATATGGTTCCATACCTGGCTGGAAAAGTTGGCGGGCTTGCTCATCGCCGCTGTGACGGTGCATGGGACTTATTTCCTCGGCGATGTTGTACCCTTCTGGCGGGAGCTGGTCGGTGGGTTATAGCAGGAAGGGCATGACTGTGACGTGAAGGGCCAGTTAGTGAGCGAGCACAACTGACGCGACCACGAGCACGAGTTCCGATCATGAATTAATGCTGCTGATGCCGCTGCCGCTGCTACCGGCGCCCTCGCTATGCGTGGAATCATACTCCCATCAATGCAAAAATATACTCGGAAGCCAAGCAGATTGAAAACTGCTCGCGCCTCACCATGAGTCTTGACAAAGGTGATGTCGCCCTGTGCCCGCCCGGCCTTCCCCAGGTTCAAACGAGCCGGGTGAGGGATCGGACATAATTGGCCCTCCTCTATATCTCTGACGGTGGACGCATACACGTACTATCAAAAAGAGCCTTGCATCTAGCACTCTGTTCAATATTGCCGGTCGTCCCCATCTTGGCCTCGAAAGCAGTATCGTTAACTGTCTCCCCTTGTCCATCGCCAACATGGACCGGGCTCAAATATCCAGCATCTCTCGGCGGCTCGTAGTGATTCATAATCTGAGGATTCACAACCACGCAACGCAGGTCACCTGAGCTGCAGAATGAAGACATGGAGACGTCGAATGCTTCGTTGGCCCCGGCCGCCAGGAGCTTGAGGACCTTCGGCGCACTTTGTCGTGTTACACCATAACCAAAGGTGCACACTGTCTGGACCGAGGTCTGCACCAGACGATAATTCTCCTCCAATTTGTCTCTGAGGAAGTGTTTCGACCAGCCTGAATAATGTTCCGTCTCGCAGCGAGTCTCATCCCGATATTTGCGACCTGGAGGCATCCAATCTTCGATTGCAGAGCCACAGTGACCCAGCCAAAGGACGTCCCAGTTGTCACCGTAAGGACGTGGGTCGTGATCTGGCGTTTCGACGAACTCGCGAACGTTATCGGAGATGAGCCGAATTTGGGCTTTCAACCTCACATCAAAGTCAACATCGTCCTCGACTATGAACGCCGTCTCGAATCCAGAGGCAATGACAAATTTCAGCAGATCGACGTGTGCCAACCATGCCGTGGCGGAACCGTGTGCCGGTGTGGGTTTCCCAGAGTCCTTCCCAATATGCTCAAAGGCCGTGATCAACTCTTGTGGGTTTGGAGGCTGGATGGGGATCGTCAGATCCAGGCCCATGAGGCTTGCTGCTGCCTTCAGTCCACGGATACGCCAGCTGTCCCCCGTAGAAAGCACCAGCAGCTTTTGAAACTGAGGCATGATCAGAACCTTTTGGACGCAGCCACTGGGTCTGCCCGTGGGGAAGTGCAGCACTACTCACCCCAAGCGTCGAGTTTGCCGCTACCTCTCTCGGCGATAGATATGACGGGGCGACACCGACACGCGGGAAGGGAAATCGTCCACTGTGTTCGTATGATTGCCACAGCAAGCCGAGCAGAGTCAAGATTATAATGGCGACAATTATGTGCAGCCGACAGCGCAACCAGCTGCCGAGGGTCTGCCCTTTCCAGGCCCGGAGCATGATCAAGTCATACGAAGGTGTACCACCAGCCCGACAGAGCGTTCAAGATCTGGAAAATGACATTGTATATTGGCGAGAACATGACTCAGGGCATCTAATTCTAAGAATGTGAACCAAGCTAGCTGTAGCCGCGCCGAATATATTGTGTCGGGCCAACTTGGTCAACATACGGAAGGCCAGGAGGACGCTTCCACACATCCTTGAACAAGTGGTGGGAACAGGCGATCGTTGCGGCTTGTGGCTGTTAGTTACTGAGCTGTGCCGCCGTTGCAGCGTCCTTCATCTGGGTTGGTCAGCTGGCCTCCAGGGAAGGGACCTGTACGAGGCCTTGATGGTCTGCTTCAGGAGATGCGGGAAGTAGAAATTAGACACCTTGTACGGAGCACGGGGGTATCATGCCACGTATTCTGGGCACCGTCCTGCCATTGATGCTACCTCAAAACCCTGCCCGCTTCAAGCCTTTTTCAAGCAACGGGAGACACTTCAGGTGGGATCCCTGGTCACCGTTATCATCGAGGCCAATAAGCTTTCTTAAGACTGTGCCAAGTGGCCTCGACGGCGCTTAAAAATGACCCACGACGGGCCAGAAGCGCCGGACTCTGAGGGTATCTCGTCGCGGGTCCAGTATGAATCATGTAGCGGGCCGGAGGAGCCGCTTGCTGACGCAGAGCATTCCATATTGCGACAGCACTGGTGTTTGGGCTTGCTCGGACCTAACTAGCACCCGATGCATACGAACTACGCAAGTCATGGAATATAGCAAGGAGAGAGGTTCGTGCCTTTGTGATTCCTGAGACCTCAACATTAGGCTAGTAGCGCCCACCATCACTTGCCATCGCGAAGCGTACTGTCCCGGGTTGAGTAGAAGAATGGATCTCAGGCCTTTGATCTTTGCGAATGGTAGCTATACGGGATCTAGCTCCTGACCCGAACACGCAGATCCCGGCCTGGAGTCGTGCTGCCCTAGCTAACCGGGAAGACCAGTCTTGCGAGGCGCGCTCATGGCGCAAATCCAATTTGTTAGCACCGGTGCATCCCCGGCCCCAGTTACAGGTTATACGTCTGCCAATCTCGAATCCCCTGCCTTTATAGACCCCTGCCAGGCTTTACTATAGTAATGCTATGCTGGGAAGTGAAACACGGAACTCCAATACAAGGGGTGGGTCAATACTACGATCTCTGTTTGCCTTGGGAGGCTAGTGAGAGCTTCTCGCTTGTGATTGAGGGCAGCATTATCTTCGGCGCTGGCTTAACCTGGGGCGGTCTCGGACATACAGGGTCATGATGCTTTCCAGCCTCAAGCGTTTCGAAGGGGCCGACTGTTTGGGTCAAATTTCGATGCTGTCCTCGATGCCCAGGATGTTAGGACCCGACCCGCCGTGCTTTGGCCACTATGCTATGCTGGGCGGATCTTCTCGTCAGGCAGGAGACTGGCCGCCCGTCTTCCCTCGCGTTGCAGGCTCAAGGGACTGCATCTCTGCCGTCGGCACGACCTGAACTGACTTTCTGCGCCTCTTAAACACACCTTCGACGCCATGTCTCCTCCGCCTCGCCGGTCGAAGCCTCTTTGACTACTGGTGTTCTCAATCCATATTCGGAGGACGTCTCTGCCATGATTGAGAGGAAAGCCAGGACGTCAATGGCACTGCAGTGTGCACTGTATCTCTTCTTGAGCTCTGTCTCTGCTCAGGACAACAGACCTGTCGACCCAAATAATCATTTCATCAGCCCGCCGTTGCCAGGACCCCAGGCAAACGTCGACCCAAGTGTATTCTGGTCCAACCAGAATTGGACAGTGGGCGTGCAACAGTCCATCGACTGGAATTGGATAACCAACCATACCAATCTGATGATTACACTGCAGCAAGAAGGAAATCCCGACAGTGTCCAAGCCCGTACGATCCTAGGTATTCGCCACCTTTATGCTAGGAGTGATAATGTGCTAACCAAGGACGTCCAGACTGCCCCGAAGCGAGTACCACAAGCCTTATCTACTGGGATGGCGACGTCAGTCCGATTGACCTGAAGAACGGGTCTATCGCCTACCTGGCCGCCTGGGACTGCGATCAGCCTGACGCCACCCCACTCTTCTTCTCGCATTATATCAACCTCACGGAACCAGCGGTGGTGACAACGTCCTCGAGTTCGACACCCACAACTTCAAGCCCCAGCAGCACGCGCACAAACGCAGCACCTGCGACCAGCTCGACCCCTTTTGGCTCTCCTTCTACTCCTGCTCCGACTCCGACTCCATCAACAGACGACACAAACCAGGGGACCCACCGGTCCTCATCCGACAGCGCAGCTCTTGGGGGTGGCATAGGTGGCGGCATCGGTGGGGCACTCGTGCTAATCGCCCTTGTCGGTCTACTGCTGTTCTGGCGGAGAGGAAACAAGAACAAGGCCAAGCGCAACGCCGGTCCCAGTCATGAAATGAGCTCTTCGACAAAGCATGACCTTCTATCGCCAGATGCGATGTATCCGTCCAATCCTTATCATTATCCGCAGCATGGGCATGGGCACGCGCACGGGTACGGGTACGGGTACGGGTACGGTCCAACAGAAATGCCCGGGGGCCCGACCACCCCCCGACACCAACAGTCGAAGCTTGCGTCAAGTGCGGAGCTAGAGAGCACCAGTCACTCGGGTGGAGGATCCTGACGGCTACCTTCACCGTTATGGACGTGTCGAGACCCTTTCTACACTTGCAATGTATTCATTAATCATGAGGTTTTTATCTTTTAGACATCGTTGATTGTTTGCTGTAGATGGAACGGGACGAAGGAGGACATATGGGTTCGATTTGACACTCACGTTGCTGCTTGCCGGCGGCAACTGATGGCTGTATGATGATACTGTTTCCTTCTTACCGATTGCCATATCCCTGTATTTGGAACCCCTTTATCCTTCTCCATCAGTTTGAATATCAGTGCCATTGTTGCTTACGCATTGCTTCCAAGTACTACCGTTCCGAATACGACGGTCTCGAATCCCGTACCCCGCCGAAACTCCCACGGCGGGATGGTGGTCCTTGAAAACCCACAGCACTTTCATTTGCAGCCTGCGACTGACTCGAAGAAATGACTTGCTGTTCGAACAGGATGGGCCTGGCCTCGGGGACCAAGGGCCCTTGTTGCTAAAGGGCTGAAGCGGTTGAATGCAGACCCTTCTTGCTGCGATTCGACAGTCCTGGGGCACCGATCGGAAGGTGACGAGGCGCATAATGCCACGAAGACCTTGTCACTCCGCCCGCGCAAGTTTTTCGTAGCGTGTCTCGGCCACAGGCCCCGCAGATGGAGTGATCTGAGAGAAATGAAAATGGAATGACACTCGATATTCCCATGGTGTGAAGTGCTGATACAGGGTATGCAAGGGAATACCACCCATGCATGACCACCTTCATGCCGTATGTATCCCCACACATGTCGTGAGAGAACGCTGTGTCCATGACATGACCCAAACAAGGATCAGGGTACTTATGCGTCGGGCAGGACGCGCGCGCGTTCGGGAGGATGTGGGCAGCGACTCAGCGACGGTGGCAATGTTCAAACTCTTCCAAGGCTCTTCCACTGCGTGGAGCTCCCTTGAGGGCATGAATGCGTTGGAGGAGGGTAATTACTGTACTCAGCTGCAAGTACTGTGTATGTCCTTACTCTATACACACGGATCTCTGGAGAAAAAAAAATCCTGCGTTCTCATTTCACACTCTTGAAGCCTTGGAGGCCGCCGTGGTGACAACATCTAAAGGAGAGCAGCGATCGGTGTCTTTGAAACAGATGGTTATTGTTTTTCTGTTGACCAGACATTTCCGCGGTTCGAGATTTCTACGCATGTATGACAGACAGAAGGACCTTGAGAAGAGTACCCGCGGCAATGCGGTAAGGTTCAGACCAGGATCATCCTCCATACCTTAATTAGTCTCCGCCATTCCGAAAGGCTTTGTGCCTCGGCTCTGATATGGAAGACTGTGCCTCTAGCCATACGCTCCTAGTCTTACAGTCTGCTCGCCATCACCCAGCACCGCGCCTCGCGCCGTGCCGTCGTCCGCAGCCATGCTTGACCACCTCCTCGATGCGCTAAGATTCACAGGTACAGTGCCGATCCAGAGAAGCTGACTTTGCTGGAGCAAAGGTGCCACGAGCATGAACCGGCCACCCCTTCCCCGAGCGCCTGGACCGTCCCAGAACGCCCTTGTGTTTGTATGCTCCGCTGATACGAAACGACCAGAAAAGTAGGATGAAATGAGGACACGCGCGCGATATAATACCGTCGAAGCTGGGCTGGAAAAAACCAAAGACATATCCCTTGCCTCCCGGGATGAAGCCATTCTCTCCCCACGTTTCATGGTCCGGCCAGCCTCGTCATGAGCCATGCGCAGCTCAAGCACAACAAAAAGGAGAGGACAGCAAAGTGGCTAAAGATCGAAAAAGCGTCAGAGAGGCGACAATCAAGCATATGCCGCCGATCTGGGTCTCCATTGGCATTTTTTGCACGCAGTAAAGCAGGGCAGGATGGAGGGGTTGAGTTGTGAAAGTGCGAGGAGGATACGATATAGGTAGGTGGTTGAACAGTAAATGCGATACCGCCTCGACGGCCTGGGTGACTCACACGTGAGCTGGGAGAAGAGTCTACCTATCTAGGTAGGTACCATCTTTGGTCACCGAGCATCATACGGCTTTGGCAATGACAGGCCAGGAGTATGGACCCAGGCGTGGCGAGAGACAGCAGCAAAAGCGAC